CTTTATTTCTAGAGCTCTCACACACACATGAGCCGGATACATGTGACCGGGCCAATATAAGGAACATTTACCATTCCATTAAAACCCATTGAGTCTTCATTTGCGTAACGTTTTCTTACACTGCTCGTTTTAGTCATCGTGTCAATGTTATCAACTCCTGATGGAGAATTCATTAGCTGCACTATTATCTGTGAAAAGAGACCGTTGCCTCCCAGTGCAGCAGCTTGGATCAATGTGAACGTTTGTGAGGCCTAAAGTGATTTATAGTAAAAGAAACATTCACTGTATGTACTATACAATTCAATACAAATTCCCTTTTATACTATGGTGAATTATCATAAGGAGGCAAACATTTTAGTAGGAGATGTATCCATAAAGTGCATATTTTAACAATAATAGATATTTTGACTTAAAACAAGTGACTTTTTCATCCTCTTTACTGATATGTAGCTCCACTGGTTATACAGCAGCGATTTATGAGGCCCTCTGTAAAGTTTAGAGGACAGGAGGTGAGATATTAATGTCAATGTATCACATATCCAAGCATTTTAAAGGTTTAGATCATCAATATATGCTGTAACAAAAACTATAGACACATACTGTGTGTGAAGGGTGAGTAATATACCTCCACAGTATCTGCAAATAGAAGTGGGCTATGCAAGATGCTAGTGGCACCATCAGTTTTATGTGGTTTCACAATCTCTACAGTAAAACACATTATGTGGTTTATTGTGTGCATGTTTGCTTCACACTGTTATGCAGTTATGAGCTCTCATACTGTCCTTCATTTAATTAGCCTGTCTCCAGCACACCAAACCAAACTTTGACAGGCAGTGGGACCAACAGGAAATGAGCAATAAGTCATATAAAATGCTCCTTTGAGGAAAATGACAGTCATGTCCTCCTCCTGGCACGTGTCGCTGTGGGCGGGCAGCGATGAACTGACAGGACGAGGCAAGAGGAGACCAAGCAATGGAGGAGCGTTCGCACTCAAGGAGAGAGAAATAGGGTATATGTGACTGAGTGCATCCATGATTCTTGTCTCCTTTTGTTACACGGACACCTTCAGGCAACACACACACACACACACACACACACACACACACACACACACACACACACACACACACACACACACACACACACACACACACACACACACACACAACACACACACACACACACACACACACACACACACACACACACACACACACACACACACACACACACACACACACACACACACACACACACAGCAGTCAGTAACACCTGAGGTGGTCACATGCCAGCCGTCAGCATGGCTCTGTGTGCCAGTAGTGTCTCTTTATTGATCCACTTAACTGCTTATTAACCCTTGTAAAAACGACAAGAGGAGAGATCTAAATAGTTATGGCACTATCATGAAACAGCAGAAGCCTTGTAATCATTTTCAATTAATCAAGCCTCAGTGACGCTTATACAAATAATAAGTGTCTATGGGTTTCCTCTATGGCACATGTTGTGGATTATCTAAAAAAATGAAACATATTCATTTAGTGAATACAATCAGATTTTAAAATATGCACTGTTTCTCCTCTTCTTATAAACCTTTTATATATACAATAAAAAAAGGGTTAGGGTATTGGATGGTAAGACTCAAAACACGCTAATCCTCAGTGAAAGAGCGCCATTTTAACTTCCATGTATTCTCTTTAACATGCAGTAAAAACAATATACATGTTGGGTCACATTGTGTCTAAAAATGTTGCAGCTGAAGCTCAACTTTCAGTATAGAACAAACATATTTTATTTCTGGCTGTTTGTTTGCGTCAATATATAATGAACAAACTATTTGTATCTAAAACTTTGGAATATTATAATTTCCCAAGCTACATTGCTGGATTACTAATTAATGAGAACCCTTCATTTCTCTAAGTATGTCAGTGGGTTGAAGTGTATAGAAAGATCTGCTGGTTTGTGTTGCAACACATAACATACAGAGGTCGTTATCCTCGCAGTGAAAACAGTGACACAGTTTCAGACAGTATTGCATTGCTAGATGATGAAACAAAAGACCTTTTTTTTCTAAATACTTTTTCTCTTTAGGGCAAAAGAAGGACATAAGTAGCAACATCTTATTCATAATATAATTCTGAGAACCTGAAACATCACCACCGAAGTGAGAAAGAGGCTACTGGAAGTCGTTATTGCTTTTCTCAGTCAATCTGTGCCATGCTACCAGAGTTATTTTAAAAAGGCTATCGGGAATGTTAAAATGATACATGTGGAATGGTGAAAAAGGTTACGATTAGTTGATATAATGTACAGTCAATCTCAGTTCCCATAATCCAGACATCTTTTTGCGGCTTTATAGCTGCTCATTAAGTCCCTACAGAAATACAAATCCATCTGTGCACACACTTCTATCAAGCTGCAGGTTCTATTAAAATCTGATTCATGGCCACATTCATATGCATACAGTCCCTGCACATATCCAAAAGGCAGATCACATTTCAAACCACCTCACATATATGAGACCATATTCTATATCTGCTCCATATGCATTTGTGGGTATATCAAGGCACCGCAGTTTGCATTAGCACATGGTTACCATAGTAACCTAAAATGGCTTAGCAGAGAGAGCGGTAGGTATTTGCTGTGTAGATGAGGATTAATCACCAATAAGCTCTTTTGGTGCTCCTCTGCCTTTTCTCTTACACACTCTAAAGAGCATTCCCAATCCTTGACCTCAATCGCCTCCCTGCTTTTCTCACCGCTTCCTCTTCTGTCATCATTAAAGCGGCAGATATCATGCCCTCAATCATGCTTAGTTTAACATCCAGATGGTTCACAGGTTTAGCTTGCAACAGGCAACAAATGTGTGAAAAGCCCCGGCATCAACCTAAATATTCCGCCGGGGGCGGCAGATAAGAGGAATGGAGAAAGTCTGACTTCAAATTGATCACCGCAGTGAGAATAATTCGGTAAACATGAGCATAGTGTGTGCTGCATACTAGTGTCATTCTGCATGATTTCTGGGTAATACAGCTTGAGATGATGAGCAGGAGTCAGAGGAGATGGAGTTTGAAATCAAAACTCAACTTTGTTCACATCTGTCTCCTTGTCAGCCGAGGCAGATCTGAGATGTATTGCTTGATCACTGTGAATCTCTGCTGTCTTTGGAAACAAGACGTATCGTGTTGACAAAATGTATTATACACTATTGAAGACTACAAGAATCCTAAATGTGAAAAATAAAACATTTTGCAGCACATTTACTGTTCAAACTGTGCCCCATATGGCTGCTATGAGATGACGGATTTACACACTTGAGTAATTAGTGATAGTGGAGGAAGTTGATTGATTATTTGGCTGGTGCTAGATTACAGACTGTAAATCACTCCTTTCATATGGTGAAAAATGCATTTGTTATGCCTTTATCCTGAACACTAAGGGCAATGCTTCTTATTTACTAACTGCATTATGTAACAATGTTATATAATAAGTTGAGTACTTACGTTTGAAATGGCTGCGATGTTTATGCTGAGGAAACAGTTTTGCACTGTTTGACTTAACCTGTTTACCTACTTAGCTGCCCAATAGAGCGTATAATGGGTATAGGTCCCATACATTAATACATAATGCTGAGACCCTGTAATTGCAAACTGTGTAAATTGTAAATGTCCCTTGAATAATTTAAAGGTTGACTCTGATCAGTTACAACACACTGAATATTCGGTTTCATTTAATTAAACAATACTAATTAGAAAGGCAAGTGAGACTGTAGAGCTGGATTTAGTGAACACAACTAAAGAAATTAGGAGAGGACATTAGGAGAGGAAGCAATCTGTAAAACTACGAAGAGTAAAAACAGAGATATGGATTAGAACACTTACATTTTTTTTTTTTTTTTTTACTACACTTGTGGAATTACTTTGTAAAGAAAATACACACCTAAAAAACCTTAAAATGATTTATTGATGTGCTGATGCAAGTTTCAAAACAATCTCAGTCAGTGCTATACCAAACTCTAAGAAACTGTACATCCTTCTCTACTATGAACATTAAGGCTGAATGGGGAGTGAACTCAACATGGAAATTAAAACAGACACATTGATCAATGCAAAGCAACACAACTCCACACATGTAAGAAGTTGGAGGGAGTTTGGATGGACACACATAAGCTCCTACTTCATTTCAAACTGTTTCACAACGATCATCAGGAGAAAATATAGATACACATTTTGTGTTTTGTGATACTGAATCATTTCTGACAAACAGAGTTTTCAAAAGATGTGATGTGAAAATATCGCAACATATTGCCCTGCTTACAGCTTCTTGCCCTAGCAATCATAGTGCCTGATATGTGGGAATGCAGAAGTGCACCACACACATTGATCACACGCAAGAAGGAAATAACAAGGAATTGGTGTAATGACCCTTCAGGTTGGAGTGAGAGAAAATGTATTTGTGAGGAAATGGAAGAAATGGTTGATTTATGACACAGTGGGAATTGCAAATGCACTATCTGATATACCACCATGGCGGTTTGGATTCTATTGACTTTGTTTATTTGTGTTTTCCTTTTCTTTATGACCACACGCAGACGCACACCTTTACACAAGACTAGGCAACTTGTTTCGATTAAACCATGAATCAATTGTTTATCTTGATTTAAAAAAGACACAGTTTCTCTATAATGATCAATAAAGTGAAATCCGCGCTGTGTAATGCAGATACTCATTAGAGCTGACCAGAGGCAGCTGATAAACAACAGCACTCGGATAAACAGACGTGCGGCACAGTAAAAGCTATTCCTTAGTGGGAATACATTGGAATGAACTGCTAATGAGAGAACACCTAACACGCAGCTCCACATTCACTAGGATGCAAAGTGAGACCTATCATTCTTCAGCAACACTTTTATCCTCAGCTCTCATTTACTCTCTTACACACACACACACACACACACATTCCCTCGAGCAAGAGATAATTGTGTGATCTGCAGCATTACTTACCTTCCATTGCATACTTCATATCCAGGGCGAAGAGGCTCCACATGATCTCGGCGCTGGTCTTGCCGGCGTTCAGCTCCTGCGGAAACCTGGTGGAATAGAAGCGGATTCCAATCAGACTCATTTCCCTATAATGACACGCTCCGCTGGGCGGCCTGATGGCTCGGCCCAGCCTGAATCTCTAACAAACCACTATACCAGATGTGCTTCGAGACATGGTTGGGGAATCTCATAATCTAATAATCCCCCATTATTTGAAAACCTGGTTGAATTTGGGAGAGATCGAGATGCATGCGCGGGCTTTAAGATTGGAAAGAGTGTAGGAGGAAGTGACAAAGCATAAGATAAGGGACAGTGAGGGAAAGGGCGGCAACCTATCTGCAAAGTAATCTGCTATTTTGAATGCATATGGATTTTTCAGTCAAAGTTGGAATGTGAGGTGTCAATGGTTTAATTATCCGTATCCTCCGACAGTGATGGGAGGACATTTAAAGATGACAGGGCACGGCCTGAGAGAGGTGATTATCAGGAAGTGTTTTACTTTTGCCAGAGACCATTCTGTGTACAACAAGAAATCATATTTAACCGACAATCTTTGAAATGAAACAGTGATCATCCGCTCAGACTGGACAACAAGTATAATGCCGAAGCATGAATGCAAACACACACACACACACACACACACACACACACACACACACACACACACACACACACACACACACACACACACACACACACACACACACACACACACTCACACACTCACACACACACACACACACACACACACACACACACACACACACACACACACACACACACACACACACTCACACACTCACACACACACACACACACACATCCATTTATGGAGGGAAGGAAGATGTAAGCTCCCATTGGCAATTGGACAGAAAAAAAAGACTCTCCAGAAACAATTGCTCCCCTTTTCATCTCTATCACTCTCAAAATATTTTTCTCAACTCCTGTGATTTCCGTTGTTATCTTCCACACACACATAGTGCGCTGTGGGTGGGGGAGACACACATCATAATAGCAGAAATGTAACATCTGCAGCTCTTGTTTACATCCGCCTGATGAGTATTCATGAGAGTAATCTCTAAAGCTTCTTATCCTTTACATTTCAAAGAACAACTGCAGCATCTAATTGTATATTCCTAATCAGAAAACAAATTCTGTAGATCAGTCTATTGTCTAAAAGATATCTAGGCTACAGTCCCAAGTAAACATCCTCATGGTCACAAACAGAGTCACATATGAACAGTTTTCCCTCGGGCAGCAGCTCCCATTATTTAAAGGCAGCAAGTCCACTCCTGGGTTTATTGGGAAAAGGCAAAGGGAATGCTGTCACTCTGTAACTTGACCAGGGGAATGTGGAGGAAATGGGCATGAATATTGCAAATCTATCATTAGACAGTGTAGGAGAGAAGGCTCAGGGCATACACAGAGTGTTAATAAGCATCGTAAATCGAGAGGAAGGAGAACAAGAAGAAGGGAAGGCGAGAATGAGGGGATGTATGTGTGAGCGAGACGAAGAGAGAATAATATGTTTCATCTTATTTCTTCTAATGTGAGCTCCGCCAGGAAGGAAGCAAACACAAACACCCCCTCAACACCAACACCGCAACCAGACCTCTATCCCCCTTTTCTAAAAAACAAATCCTTCATCTCTTATATAACTCCGCAACACAGCAATCCCATTTTATCCATCCATATTATGGCTCACCATAAAACAAAGCATTCCTTACGGTTGGCTTCTCTGGCTGCCTCACAGCCTTATTGCGCAACACTGCGCTCATTCATGTCTCCACAAGCAGTAAATACATTTTTTTTTAAATCTACAGGGATGGTTTTTCTTTGTTTTCCTTCAAGCCCGATTTGCCTCTAACTCAACCAAATAAATACAGTAAGGAATTATATAAATATTGAACAAATCAGTGCATATTTAATCAATTGAGCCTTATTAAAGGCACACACATTTTGTATTTATTCATCTTAGAGTATTTCCACATCAAACACTTTTACACTGATACTTCCTTTCAAACCTCCTTTCAAGCCAAACAAATCATCGACCATTTTGTCACGAATGGTTGAGATTAAACCCTATGAAATGAAGCTTAAGAGAGAGCAGTGAAAACTCCGCCTGCATTTTAGGAGAGTTTTCAGTAAGGTCATTTATACCTCTGAATTTAAATAGAGGATAAATGGTAATATGTAAATAGTTAACACGATGATCAGCAATGCATGAGTAATGAGAAAAACCAAACAGCTAACGACCATAACCTGGCATAGTAACGAATGAAGTGCTCATTGCTTGATAAGAAGCATAATAAAGGAGTACATACTGGTTAATGACTGGGGTGTAAGCTGTCCGGTCCTCATCGATCACAGACACCATGAGAGTGATGAGTTTTGGCCAGAAGTCCAGGTTCTTTATAGACGGACCCTGCTCCTCTCGGGGGATGTCCTGCTTCCGGCTCTGCAGAGGAGAAAAGAAAGATGGTGGGAGACTGAAAACTGTTTTGAAATATTGTCTTCAGTGTTATGGTAAATGTCTGTTTCCTGGTTTCTTTCTGGCATTGCCAATGGAGTTGCTGTAATGCTAAATACATGTCACACTTGATCTGACAATAGAGCAACATCATATCATAATGTGTTGCAGATATGAGACCATTAACATTTTTGGATTCAGCAGAAATAGACAGGGATCAAAAAGAGGAAGCCAGACAAATATGAAAGTAGTAACATACTTTTTAACACTTGAATATATATTGCATATCATTATATTATCTCTGTATGACATCTTTATGAAAGTGATAATGTACTTGCAGTTCATTTAAACTGAACTAAATAAGTTAGTATTATGTTAGATGTTGACAGTGTAAGGACAATACAAACTATACAAATAAGCCTTAATCATAACACCAGATTACAAATGTTATTTCATGAAATCAAAGCAGTTTTTTTAATCCTTATGTTAATTGGTCATATATTTTGATTCTGTGATTCATTCATATTAATTTGTTAGTATGCTTCCATTCCCTCATTAGATTAAAATGACTGCCACACTTATAAGTGATACACAGAAAATACAAAGTGCATGTAATCGAGCATTACCATTTAGAGTTTTATTTTATTTTATTTTTATAGAGTAACAGAAAAAGAAACAGCGGACACAGGAAGCCATCTGAAAAGCTTTGTTTGTTTAACTGTACCGGAACAGATACACCCAAAACAACAGGATTTACCAGGACTGGAATGTTGAGCATTTCAGTTTGAAAAGTGTAATCATCCATCAGTAGTGTGTTTGTGTGGGTGTGCGTCAAAGTGTGTGGCAGAAATCTCCGTGGCTGTCCTGGGGTGATGGGTGTTAAATATGAAATCTTTCCCTGACCCTGCCATCTGCTCACCCCACACTGAGTGTAACCATACTGATCTGCAGTCAGCAAGTTACTGTCAGTCTCTCGCTCTGACACTAACAGGTTCTGCAGAATACAGGCTAGGTCGTGCACACACAAAACACAGAGCTTACTGGCAGCTCTGTTTCATACACACACACACATAAAAACATGCACTTATGCACACTGACAATTACATAAAAATGAGAAAATGTGTATTGCATTCTCTTGGGAGGCTGTGTACCCACAGTCCACAGTCATAGGTTATAATGTGATCTACATACCCTCTTTGACAAACCCTCCCAAGAGGATGCAATACACATTTTCTCATTTGTGTATGTAACTCTAAAGCAAAATGTTTACTTGATGAATGCTGGTAAAAGGAAATTGTGTTAAAAATGAAACATGTTCCAATCAGTTATTGAATAATTTAGGTTGAATTATTTACCAACCTTAGGCCTATTGACTTTGTTGCAGCACTGAGAGCAGACGCTGTAGCGAGAGCTTGAGATATTGAAATGCAACATGAGTCAATTTACCATTGATTCAATCCTTAAAACCTAGTCAGTTCCTACCATGATCAACTTGTATCAGATGACGTTGATTGTAGTCTTAAATATCCTATGATGCAAGGCACACATTGCAGCTGGAAGTACGACACAATTTAATCTCACTGCAACAAGAAAGACAAATACGGCTTACAGCTGATTCTGCGACAGTAGATTGTGTGAGCCCAGGGTTCACTGCTTTAATCATTTGTGTTTGGGTTTGCAAAAGTAAAATCCATCCTCGTGTGTGCCATCGTCAGGAAAACAGATGAATAACATGACTGGATCCATCATATTGATCAAAGCTCATGAATTTGTCATTTGCATTGCATTCCCATGCTTGCTATGTATCAACACATGAAACATGAACCAGTTTCCAAAGTGGAGGCAAAAGGGAGCTCCATATGTAACGTAATCAAAGGCTGTGTTGGGAATTTAAGCTAAACGCATGTTAACCTTGATTGAGTAAACATCTATGCATTAGTAAAACTGGTGGAAACATCAGTTAGTGTGATCATAAATTAAGGCAAGCATCACTCGAGATAGATCTGCTTGTTCCATCAATCACACAATTCAAAACATTGAGAGGTTAACAAGTGTCTTGTTGCGAATGAGCGATTTATGAGTTAAGATCAATTAAACAATCAATTTCGGCGCTGAACTCATCGTTAATGAAATGACGATGCGATGCTTACTTGGAAGAGGTAACACTTCTTATAAAGGACTGCTACATTAAGGGGAGATATGCTAATAAATGCAACAAGGTACATTTCTGGTTAATTGGAGCCATGTGATAATAAAACAAATATCCCTGCAGGAGGTCACTTGACTATGCAAAAATCTGTCGATGGGTGTATCCTTGTGCGTGTGCGCGTGCATGGCTGTATGCATATGAAGGACATTGAAGGTTGTGTCATCCCTACTAAATTGAAAGCGATATGCAGCGAGCGAAAATGTAGTGTAGACTCCCATAGCTCATCTGTATTCACCTCAAGTAGGTACACACACATTGTTAAAGGTGATTAAGTGTCTTGCTGTCTTTTTACAGCCCACAACATACCCATGGGCTTCACTCTCAGTTGTACTAGGAGGTGAATACTGTCCTGAACTCACTAATCCCAGTGAATGGTGCATGTGGAGGGGGCACTAGCAGAAATATTCATAGAAATGCATCACTCCTCTAGAGGGTAGCTAGTGCTTTATGGTTATTGTTTAGCACTTTCAGTCCCTGTGTGGGAGAAATCAGCATTACCATACAACTGGCTCATCAATTCTCACAATGTGACACAAATCTCTGATTGAAGGATGTTCTTGGAGAATGGAAAAATCCCAAGAGAAAGAGCTGTGCGGCGAACTGAAGCTGTATTTAAAGGCCCAGAGATAAAAAGGTTGTTTGCTCAAGAATTGTATGAAAGGATTTACTCAAAGGCACATATTCTGAAGACAAACAGCATGCTCTTCAAACGCAGTCATCAACCAGATGGGTATTGTGCGCAAATATGTGATCATGGCGATAAGAGGGAGACTTATCAAATCAATTTGAATTGCCTGCTCAGTAACAAGTGGAGGAGTAGCTCCTCTCACAAAGTAGATCCCTTTCTTTTGCATACCTGTCAACAAACAGCAGCCCCCCTCTTCATAAACAGATTGCTTCTATTCATCTGCCTACTTAAGCATGGACATTTGCATAATGCATTCATGTGTGCATATACATGAGCATTTTTCATAGACGCAAGTGCAAGCTACTTAGCATTTCTGGTCTGTGAACTATCCTTGCAAATCCACATTCATTCACAGGGTATTTCCCCGTAGTCTTGCTCTTTTTCTGCCAACATTTAGGAAACTGTTAAGCTACATTCCCCTCACCCCTCCGTCCCTCATCCACTTTACGAACAGACCGAAGCAGAGAGCTGTGTTATGTCACGCAATATGCCTCATAGTGGCTGGGATATTTCCCTGCCTGCCTGACCATCGTGTCATGGATTGTGTCGCCACACTCAGTCATTGTTAGCGACCGGAGAATTGGGGTGTGAATTGTTTTCTAACCGCTGAGTCAAAGGCTACCTAGTGTATGTGAACATAATCATTTGAATTCACAGTGAGATATGCTTTAGGGGGAAGCTGATGTCTTTTTCTTCTGCCGTGTACGAAACATTGATGGAGAGGCTGCCAGTTGTGGAACTGTGGTGGACGACGATGTAATTAGTGAAACGGTCTATCTCTCCTGGTTTGGTAATTGCTTACAAAGCTTCAGGCTGTTTGAACAAAGGAAGCTTATTATTCAACTTTTGAGCGGGCTGCACCCATTATCTTAAATACATTATATTCTGAGGTGGGGACCATTCTCCTTGGGAAGTAAACCGTGAAATAAAAAGGTGGGACCGCCTGTTGCCTGATTATTTAACCCGGAAAGGCCAAAGCATGTAAACTCAATCCCATAGCAATGTCAATGTGTTCAGAGAAGCATGCCCTTACTTAAGAATGGGTGATGCCATGTTTCATGAAAATGTAATTAAGTGAGTTCTTTATCTGGAAACATGCCTGAAGCTGCTCGTGGTACGCAAGTGATACATTATTACACGAGGACGCAGTATGGCAGCATACTCTCATGCTAGTTTATTTATATCGTCCATGTTCCAACTTATATTTTTGCTCATGTATTATCCATCTGGAGCCAAAATAGATGTAAAAAGCCTGATGCTGTTATATGTCTCTTCATGGCAAGCTCTCTCTTTCTTAGATGGTTGAAACTTTAAGTTAACAATAAACACTTTTAATGTTCTGCTTTTACAGCAATACATAGAGTCTAATTGATGCCAGTCATGCTGGAATATCAAGATGTTCTGTCAGCACAAAATGTAACAAATGGTTGTTTACCTGGATTTTCAGGAGAGGCCCTGAAGTAATAACTATATTCAATATGAATGACTTTTAAAGGTCTGCCGGTAATTAAAGGCAGCCTTTGGGTGTTTTAGGTATTCTGCTACTTTATTAGCCTACATCACCAAGCTTAAACATTTCTTTGTTTGCATTGGTGCAGGTAGGTTTTTCATTAAGACCCATTAGGAGTCAGTTATCTAGTTAGCGTTGCCCATCAGCTTGGCTAATTACCAGATGCTGAGATGCTAGTTTGTAGATTAAATGTGATTACATAAGTCAGCAGAGCAGGTATGCTGTCAGCTGCCTTCATTAAAGTTAGCTTGATTAAACTCTATTTTTACACTGCTATTTGCATTTTCTGTAAGTGCTAGATGTATGCTTCTGTTGTTTAATGTTTAACGGCACACTGGATAGCCAATGTCTTATTTTCACTTTCCATCGTAATTCTCTTGTTACATTGTAAGACATTCAGAAAATAAAACCAAACAAACTTACAATAACAATAAACAGAAAGGCCTATATCTTATTATTCTGAACCATCCATAAAATAAAAAATCCTCTTGTTAGAAATAACATTGTTTTAGTAACAGCTTGTAGATTGTTTTTGCTTTGGATGGGGCAGTAGTGGGTTGGGTTATGGCTTTCAAGCCCAGGGAAGCAACAAAAACATCAACCATAACAACAATAAACAAAAGAACACTAAAGCTGAACAGCCGAAACACAAATCCCATACTAAAAAACGACTTTTACATAACAGTCAGCACTGATTAACTCAAAAGAGCTGAAAGAAGTGACACACATACTATTACAAAATGGCGGTTATAAATAATTCAATATTATTTGCTAAACTGCCAAAGGCATGCTGGGGCAGCTCTTTCTCTGCTTGTGTTAGCCTTTGCACCCAAATGTTTACTTCGCTAGTGCGGGCATGGCTGGTGTATTACACATCTCAATACTGGAGACCGAGCCATCGAACCATTCACAACAGGCCATGGCCACAGCACAAGCGGCAACTAAGTCCAAGAGAATACTCATTGAGTATTGAGGTCAAATGTTTTTTTAATTTGTGCATCATTACATCTGCAAGATTGAATGTAAGGAAAACAGAGCTCTAAATTAGCACAATAACTATCTATTGTTGGACAATTGATTTTCCCAGAAATAGTTTTGATAAAATATATTATAGTCATTTTGAGTCCATGCGATACCACTTATATAATAAGTATATCATTACATACAAATTCAAGTACATTATTTTAAAGAGCAATATACTTAAACTTCTTAGAAACATTTAGATATTGGAATTTGGAATTGGTAAAAGACCGCACAATCAAAACAATAACTAAAATGGACTCAACCAAAATATGCAATGCCTAAGCTATATCATGCTAAGGAAATCCCTGCTGTCACTCTGGCATGATGCTGGCAAAATGTTGTTGACATTCGTATGTCAACAAGCAATCACGTAAACACCACGGGCAATATCGAAGTCAGCAACAATTATGAAAAGGCATATCCATATGTTGTTGTCGTTAATGTCATCATTTTTGACAGGTCTTTGGCAGTGAATCACCAAGCACAACTAAATATGTGGATGAGCCTGAATTAATTGATAAGCAGTGGAAGTGAAAATGATCTGAAAGCTGTTTACCTGGTCAAGGAGTTGGTTGTAGAGTTCATGACAGTTATCAAAAATGTATTTGTATGTAGAGTCCAGACACGCCTTCACGCAGTCCTTCACCACCATGCTGGCTCTGGGCGGACTCTGGAGCTCTTGAACCTGCACACACACAAACACACGAGCAAATACACACACATGATTTCAATGTTTTTCAGTATCAAAGCAGATGATATTAAAATTACCCAGTAACTATAGATGATGACATTTACTGTCTTGAATGAATTTTTATGTTGTTCCATCAGTGAAGTGATAAAGTAATTATATCAGATTACACGTACGTGAAACATTATCGCTTCCTTGTGGAAAAAGGGCAACCTTCTTACATCCATTATGTATATCATAATTGACATGTGGCCAGACATTTAGGTGTGTGTGAAGTATAGTCACACTGTAGCTCCGATGTGTGAGCAGCTGTGCGTATACAATGGCAGAGTGAAAGCATTGGTAACCTAAAGTGACAGATTTCATTCCTTTGCTCATAGCTGCCATCTTAGCTATGCCTCGGTGAACTAGCACTACCCCCCCATTCCAGGCAAAAGAGAGCTGAATAGAGCCAAGCTCTTCCTATAGATAGCAGTCAAGACGTAGTGTTGGTGGAGAGGGAGAGGGAGAGGGGGAGGAAACAGGAAGCGTTATAAACACAGAGGCTTCCAGCAGTATGCAGGTCAACACACGTTACACAAACATGACCCCACCAGCCTGAAGTCAAGAAATTGTGCAGCAATAAATCATTTGGGTTTGAATGGTCACTGGTGTTAGGAGGGACAGGTTTCCAGGAATTATGATTTGGAATCGATTTGGCCTAAATGAAAGGTGCCTAAAATCAATCAGATGTTTATGTTTATGACTTCATTCTGTCAGATTTCACAGCCATGACGAGGGCTGAAAGTGCCGTTTTCGCTTATTCAGGGGGCGAGGCATTTCTGTGATAAAACATTACATCTTCAAAGATTATATTTTTTTAGTGGTGTGCTCCATCATTATTTATGATATTGTTTATGTTTCTTTCCATTTCTCTCTGCCTACACACAGCTACCTTCATCCTGAAGAAGGTGATGCTGGTCAGCAGATCAACAGTGGACTTCAGATCTTGGAGACGCTCTGGGTTTCCTGCAGGGAAATTATCCTGTAGTGAGAAAACATAAAAATGAAATTAACACGAGGAGACATCTCGTTGAAAGCAGCATTTTAACGTCACAAACCCCTTCACCCAACACATCACAGCGCTTAGCCCAAAACATTGAAATTGATTAGAGTGCAACGCCCAGTAATCATACCGAAATGACTGTCGGTCTAATCGTTTAGTGGACAAGGGAGGTCTCTGCTGATGAAATCCTCTATTTCGGGGCCATGAAGTCATCAGGCAGTGCAGAGCAGCGTGACGGGAGCGCATAAAGCTCTGACGTCCTGGATGGCCTCGCTGCCACATGCATTATCCTACTTCTCCTTCTTTCTCGTTGCTCAAATACATTTTGTACTCGTTGTCTACTACTCCTTTACCTTGTCAATAAATGCACAAAAGAGATTTAGGAAATAGAGCCGGGTTCAGCAGTCTCAAGGCTCGACGGCACAGAAAAAAGGTCTGTCCGACATCATGGCTGATCAGCAGAAACAAAACTCGCCTGACATCTTTTGCACGTGAGCAGCATCTTACTGAGTTGATAAATGATTCAAGCTGACCACTTTACAAAGAAGCGGAGTTTTGAAGAATAATTGCTCAACACAACTTGGACAGTGGCCTTAAAAAGAGCCAATGGAGGGGAAAACATGTGGATGGGCTGTTAATGGACATGGAAGAGAGCTGGATACAGCACGGAGGCAGGACCACGTTTATTGCTATGAAAGTGTTCAGTGGCGCATGAAGCCAAAATGGACAGACTATGGAGAATATATTTAATCGGATCTTCCGGTTATCTTCTGCATCTATGGACCCAGAGAGCAACATCACTAGCATTTCCTTTATTTATTGCATGTCTAAAAACATATATATATATATGTGCGCTCCATGGCATCACGCAATGGGCCTGGAAGTTGAAATTCTACGTTTGGTCACTACATAAAGTGTCTAGTGCTTCTACAAAGGGATTTTTTTTTAATGGACTGTCAGCTATCTACTTACAGTATATCTCTCTGAAGCCATGACTAATGGGAACAGTCTAGTTTAGAGGTGAACGAGTAGAGTAGTTCCCAAAGATGAACAGCCTCCAGGAAAACAAGATTGACACACATTCTGCACAGGCAAAAGTGGAACAGTACTATATTTGGCTGCAGATGAGCAATAAAAGAAGAAAAATAAATCAGCTGGGACTGTTTTTTGTTCCCGTTTAGTTTTCTTGCTTCTCTTTGAAAGCGGTTTGCATCATTGCCTTACATATTAACAATAAAGTTGTTAGGGTATTTCATCATTTGTATCTCGCTGAAAGATTTTCAAATGTCATTTAAGAGTGTCCTTTGTCATACACTCAAACAGCAGACTCCTCTGGGTAAAAGAAATCTTAAATTACAAGCAGAGAGAAAATGATTTTCTTGCAGCTGCGGCACCACCACCAGTCTTATTCACACAATGGGAGTTCCATCACTCACCTCCCTTTCTCTCTTTGCTGACACTGCACTTTCTCTCACAATAACCGCACATACATGCAGCCTTCAGACAAAAGAGAAACCATCAGTCCCTTTGAAACATTGATTTTGTAGTTTCCCCCTGCAACCTTGAATGTTGTCTGAAATCGCTCTGCTGGAACAGCTCCCACAACATGTGTTTAATCTGTAGGGTTTTCACTTTGAAACAAATAAAGGAGGCAATTTGAGTTTTGCTCAAGAGACTACATTCTGACATGTAACCCACTAAGGCTTCTTTTTTGTCCAAGTAATGTCAAACTAATCTTTGCTTCCTGGCTTTTCCAATAGAGGCATTAACACCTTTATCTACAGTAGGGGAGGAAAATCACCCTTGAAAGAGCTGAAATTGCACATAAAACTGTGCAATTGCACTGCTGCTATTCTGCTTTACAGAGATAGTTGAAGACTGGTCCATTAAGTCTACTTTGTCTTTACAGTAAATGAGAGGATTAATTTGAGTCGCACATATAATACAATCTTATTTTAAAGCTGTATATTTAAAAAGGAAAGAAATTATTCAGTGTAGAATTAGAAATCTGTTAATTAGTGCATTTTGACATCAAAAGGTTATGTAGCTGTGTAATTATGATGATTGAAGTGAAGTAAAGTTAAGTGCTCATTGACGCTTACAGTATGTATGCTGCAAAGGAGGTACAGTAGGTGGGTTTTTCACACACCAAACATTACTTCATACATAATGTTATGGTCCCAGCTTTCAATCTAATTTGATATTTGACATCCCATTTTGATTGCAGATGGCAGGGGTAAATACAAATGTATTCATATTTGACTAAATCCGTGTTAAGGGAGGAAGGAAATGTCATCTAAATTATAATCAAAGTTTCAGGGAACCAAGTTCTGGATGTGTAAATAGCTTAAAGACAGCATGTACAGTACTTATTTTGATTCTGGAAAGCATTACTTACTTTGGAGAAAAAACTTAATACAGCTTCACACTGTTCCTGGTATTAAAACAGTGCCTTGCTTTACAATACACAAAACACTTACATCTGCAAACACTGTTTATTAACACAGGGACAGTGGTGTGAATAACGTTGCATTCTTCCAACAGATGAATACAAATACACCAGAAATTAGGAACTTCATCAGCAGAAAAACTAAGAAAAAGCGAAACAGATTTATTGCCAGAGAGCAGTCAAGCATACTGAAAACAAAAGGCATCCATCTCTGAGCTGAAAGTAAAGACAACATCAGCACTGCCTTTAAAAGATGACAGAAAGTCCATTATGAGACGTGAGTAACGCTGATGAGATTTGAGTTCTTTGTCTTTGTTCTCGCTTACTTTGAAGACAATGGTGTTCACTGAGAACCAAACCCAAAAGCAGTGACACTGTACAACTCCATAATTATGTAAGAATATCAATGTTTTTTAAACCTTTTTACAGAGGCAGCATAATGGCTTTATAAAAGGATTTGCTGGTCAAACACCAGGCAACAAGTGGAGCTCGTGCAGGAAATCATGTGGAAGGAGAGATCAAACGCAGTCATGCTCACTGGACCTCCAACTGCCACAGGAACACTGCACTGTCACCCTGCACTCTGCCCATCATGCATCATGGGCTAAGACATATGCTCAATTGTTTGTATTTTGAATCAAAATTCAGGTTATATCAATGAATTAGTAACATTTCATTTAAATAACCCAATATGACAAATGACACATTTATCTCAGGGTGATGTACAATGTGTAAAGCATACATGTCTCCCAGAGAAACAGTTAATGGTGAAAATGTATTTATAATGTAATAAATGTAATACTTATTGGGTATACATTATATATTCTGACATTACGGGGCATATCTTTAAAGGTGGGGTAGGTCATTTTGGAGAAACCAGCTCGAGTGCGCGAGAATTTGAAAATACACAACCGGAAAAAATCTGCCACTTCCTTACAGAGCCCCTTCTCCAACACACACGGACGCGCACATGACCAATGAGGGCACGAGATAAGTTTGTGCACAGATGGAAGGCTGACAGGCAGGTAGGCCATCCAGTTATTTTAGCCGGGCCGGCTAAAATGATTGGTCGTGCTTTTTACAGTATTACGGCTTCCACAAATGACATTTTTTTATGGATTTTTTGTCAAAGCACTTAAGATATTCATTGCTATCGGGATGTTAAGAGCATTCCATGGAATATAACAAAAAGTGTATCTCGAGCCGGTTTCTCAAACTTACCTACCCCACCTTTAAGCTCCATTCAAAGTGGTTCAGGTTGGAATTTATTGAAACATCATATAATGCAGAAAGTAGTAGTTTGAAATGCATGTATTAATATAAAAATCTGCATTGAACAATGAATACCTGATTTTCTTTATTGTAATTGTAGGAGCAGAACTTCACATATGTGTGACTTTTTCTTTCCCTTTCATAATTTGTTTCTTCCTCCATCAGAGCTGGAGGTGTCTTATCGTCTTGCTCTCTGTGAACGGTGATACTAGCTTGTCTCTTACACTTGGCTTTTTACATCGTCTGTCATACATTTCATTTCAAAGGGTAAGCTTTGGAATGATGCAGGTTCTTCTCTGCAGAGAAAAAGAAGATTAGCCAACAACTGTGGAGATGCAGCTTTGTTCTCTTTGAGTATTTTCTCAACAAAAAAAAGGATATGCTTTTCTGGCATTTGAGGATGACAGTCTGGTTGTATGCCTCTATAGCAACCCTTGATATGTATAAGGGAATCTTGCTATAGAGCAACCTAGTTGAGATGATAGAACTATAATGTTGGTTCTTTATCAGCTCCATTAACAGCTCAATGTAACTTGATATGACACGATACTGCCTTGGAGATCTAGAGCTATGGCATGGAACAAATATTTGATTTTTATTGCAGAGGCAGCAGGAACTACTGCACCATATAAAGCAACAAAGCAGGTTTTTGCATTAAGTCACATTTTCTCTAAAGGCACAGCGTAATACTGCACAGAGTTTGATTTCTAAGACAATATAGCACACGTCCTAGGGGTGCTAACTGAACCAACATCACTTTATATCAAACTGTCCAAACTAAGCCAACGGCCCAAATCCCTCGCAGCGTGCTCGGAATACTGAGGGGTTTATGTCCGACCTGGAGAAACGTGCAAATCCCATCTGGGACAGACCGGCTATACAAGGTGTCACTGTGTATCAGCGCTGTTAGAATAAAGTTTAAAGCGAAGAAATGCATATGTGGCAAAATGTAAAGTGGCAGCTGCACCCCGGTTCCATCTCTGCTGATTCAAGGGCCCTGTTTTACAAAAGCAAACTCAATCTCCCTCTGAATGACATTATAGGGAAATCCATACGGTGAGTAGCCATATGTGAAACTTATTACTGTCAGATAGTGGCAGGACGGCTCTGAGGGACGGCTGTAGAAAGTGGGAGAGAGTATGAACTAAGAAAAGGTTATGAAAAAGGAAATGTGTGTGTGTGTGTGTGTGTGTGTGTGTGTGTGTGTGTGTGTGTGTGTGTGTGTGTGTGTGTGTGTGTGTGTGTGTGTGTGTGTGTGTGTGTGTGTGTGTGTGTGTGTGTGTGATAGAAACCACTGGTCTGTGGAAGGCTTGACAAGGCTGAGCAGCAGGGCAGCGGTGCTGGCAGGTGAAGCCAACGTGATTTTCTGTGACTGCTCTCAGTGAACATGTCATCGCCAGACAGCCATGCAATCTGAAAATAAAAGAGGCCATCTCTCCTCACTTAACCCTCTCCCACATTCTCTGTTTCCCACCCACCAGGCCTCCTGTCATCATTAGTGTTTATCCTCTTCTCTCTTTCCAAATAAATCCCTCTCTGCATCCAACTCTCTTCCTATTTGTCCAAATCGCATCTCCTCCAACTCACTGTCTCTGCTGATTTCATCTAACTCTGTTTTGTCCAAATGCATTCCTTCCTCACTATTTGCAACTCCATCTCAGTCTCCCTGAAGTCCTCTTGTTTCTCTTTCATGCATCACATCTTGTTGCTTTTCTCTCATGCTTTCTTTCTTTGTCTTTGTAGACAGACATCAGACTCTGCTGTCATCAGGGTGTGTCTCTGTGATCACATGTGGCTTCACACAGCAAGCCGGGGCAAAGAACAGGGGGACTAAAGCAATCACCCACTCAAGGACATGTTGCCTTTTGTGTCAAATGAAACGGTGTGAGGGTCATATTTCAGTTACACTTCACAATGGTAAGCCACCAGCTGGGGAGAGAGGTGTGTGTGTGTGTGTGTGTGTGTGTGTGTGTGTGTGTGTGTGTGTGTGTGTGTGTGTGTGTGTGTGTGTGTGTGTGTGTGTGTGTGTGTGTGTGTGTGTGTGTGTGTGTTTGCAGGCATGCTTCGGCATTATACTTGTTGTCCAGTCTGAGCGGATGATCACTGTTTCATTTCAAAGATTGTCGGTTAAATATGATTTCTTGGTGTACACAGAATGGTCTCTGGCAAAAGTAAAACACTTCCTGATAATCACCTCTCTCAGGCCGTGCCCTGTCATATTTAAATGTCCTCCCATCACTGTCGGAGGATACGGATAATTAAACCATTGACACCTCACATTCAAACTTTGACTGAAAAATCCATATGCATTCAAAATAGCAGATTACTTTGCAGATAGGTTGCCGCCCTTTCCCTCACTGTCCCTTATCTTATGCTTTGTCACTTCCTCCTACACTTTTTCCAATCTTAAAGCCCCGCGCATGCATCTCGATCTCTCCCAAATTCAACCATGTTTTCAAATAATGGGGGATTATTAGATTATGAGATTCCCCAACCATGTCTCGAAGCACATCTGTTATAGTGGTTTGTTAGAGATTCAGGCTGTGTGTGTGTGTGTGTGTGTGTGTGTGTGTGTGTGTGTGTGTGTGTGTGTGTGTGTGTGTGTGTGTGTGTGTGTGTGTGTGTGTGTGTGTGTGTGTGTGTGTGTGTGTGTGTGTGTGTGTGTGTGTGTGTGTGTGTGTGTGTGTGTGTGTGTGTGTGTGTGTGGCTGCTTCAGGTGAATCTTGGATGTCTGCACATTTGGGAAAACGTCTGTGGCTGGCTGTGTGATGACTAATAGGCTTAGCTCTCCTGGGATTGCTCTGGGAGATTATGTACTGTGTGTCAGGATTTCAATCTGCTTGAGAAGAATACAGAGAACCCTTTATTGGCCTGGGAGATCAATTCCAGTCTCTTCAATGTACCTTTCTTCCAGAGGAGGATATTTGATTCATATGTTTGATTGGCACCTTTTGTCATTTGTTTCAGGTTAGGGAGGGGAACAAAGTGATTTGATTTGACCCTTTTAGCTATTCTTATTGCTTTTAATATTGTATTTATTTCAATTGAAGTGAAAATAGGCACGTTTTTGGCTTTAACTTCTCATTATGAAGTACATCTGGCAGGCACATTGCTTTATAATGATGAAACAGCAGAGATTAGAAGGGGGGACTCACTGTGCATAGCCTAAGAGAGAAAGAGACCCCATGCTGTTCACACAAGGGCTTTTTGCAAGAGTAGTTTGCAATTACTTAAGCAGCATGCATGGGAATTATTTATAATATGATATGTGTTAATGTATTCATTTGTCTTGATCGTCTGAAAATGCACCAAAGTTGTTGCCAAGTAGGATCTGAATGTCTTTGCAACAACTGTGCTAGCAATTATATTACATGGGAAATGTACGTTTGAAGTTGGACAGTTTTCTATTGCCACTTTAATATAGCTTTTTAGGTATATTGTATTTCAGTGAACACATTTTTCACACAAAATAGAATTCTCTTATTTTCATTTGAGTATACTAAAGTCAAGCAGGTACAGTTTGTCTTTCACGGAGCCGACAACAAAAAGTTCGTAGACACAGACACCATGTAGCCTGCTGATGCTTCAAATGGTGACAGTCACCCGTTTACATCAAAGGCGGCTGTACCAGGTCAACCAGAAGATTCTCCATACACAGCAGCGCAGTGGAGCCTGCTGACAGACCTCGCCTGCTGCTCATCATTCAGTGACAATCACCCAACTCAGCAGGGGATAAAACGCCACCACTAACGTTTATATAGAAGAAGTATTTACCCAGCATGGTTGACAAAATGCAAAGACTTAAAACAAATGACTGTACCAAAGATATAACAAACTGTTATATATATGCAAACTGCTTGACAGAGACTTTCACAAATGTTTGATGCAGGGCTATTTTATAGAACTGCATTCACTTGTTTATATAACTTTATTATGCAATTTGCCTTTTTTTATGTGGATAAATGACCCTAATAATTATGTCTAAAAATGATAAACAGCTTCTAGCTATTCTTTGCTTCATTGCAGCAGAAGCTTATAGAGTTTAGCTGTTCCTCCCTCTCTCCACTCCCTCGGTGCACCACCTTGTTTTTGCTGCAGTATGTATGGTCTTGTAGCTAGCAGTTAATGATGGAGCCTATGACTGCAGCATAGCCATCACAATATATAGTATGTCTCTATAAAACAAAGCAGAAGAAAGACACAATAGTCTTATTCATGTAGAACAGGAACAGGATTTCTGTTTTTCATATTGGTTATAGCCAAAAACAAAATCAATTTGTGTAGGTGCTGTTGGCTACAAATAAAATTGTGGAGTACATATCCTAGTTTACAGATGTTTACAAGGTGGCCAATACTCCTAATCCATAAACCAACATAGCATAAATAGTGCTGGACACTAACAATAGGGGCTATTTATTAGACCTTGAGGATCAGCATTTCCTGAGCTGCTGATGGATCCCTTGACACTGTAGGCTGATCATCGATATTTATGTGCCTTGCAAAATCACTTTATAGTCATAGATCATTCCATTAATTCAAAACTATAATCAATGGTTTCAGTAATTTGTTGGTTATTCTTGAATAAGAAGGTGTAACACGAGGTATGTCTGGGTATTTTTCTGTAATTACTGTTTTTTCAAATCACCCAATTCGCTAATCTTCCTTCATCATCGCAGCTTAAAACCACAAAGTATTCCAAGCCATTTACTAAGCCTATGGTGATAATATTATGAACCCATATGTGAGTCATGTGACATTATCAAATGTCATTCTTGGTATAAGACCATCACATCTCTTATGACATTTACCTCTTCTTAAACCGGATATTTAGTATTAAACCTAAAGGCATTTACATGCGTCATGTGTGACTAAATTGTAGAATTGATATAAGGCAAGCATGCATTCAAATGCTCACTGAATTTAGCACAAGATAGAAAAGAAGATCCAGTCAATAATCACGTTTGGAGGGGAACGGGCACACATTTGGCTTTTAGAACAAATGGTAAATGGATTGCTGCTCCAAGCCAGATATAGTAAGCACACAGTGTGCTGTAAACAGAGTTGAATTAACCTTGAAACCTATCAAATCAATCAGGTAGCAGACACTTCAGCACTTCTGTCAAAAGTCCAGTCACTTTTAAAGGATGTTAATTATAAACACCAATGCTAAATGGCTGCCTGGATTTGCATCTGTGTGTGAAAGATAGGGAAGAAATGGTCAACTATTTTAAATACTGTCAGTGTAGTCTCTAAGTCAATTGAAAACATCCAACCTTAAAAAAGTATGATTCTTTTGAATTGACTAAATTCACAGAAACAAACACCATTCCAAACAAACAAGGAGTCCTTACGTACCCGATATTTGGAGAGGTCGATCCTCAGTGAGTTATGCAGCTGGTCCAATAATTTGACAAATTTCTCCCTCTGTCAGGATGAAAAATATCATAATTCAGTCACCACACCTAAAGCACTCTACAGTCTACAAATTGACAACACTGCGTGGTTGGTAGCTTTGCTGTGCTTGCAGTGATTCACTTTTACTTCCTGGAACAAAATGTAGGGGTTTAGCTATATATATTGCCTGACTCGGCTTCCTGCCTGGAAATATTATTTAATGCCTAACAACATTAGCTTATTAAAATTCCAATCTGAAGCACTGGCAAATTTCTGCACAACTTGCTGTAGACAAATAACTCTAAATGAGAAGGATGATAAAAAGTATTGACGGCAAGAGTTCAATATGAGGCTATAACACAGCAGTAGAGGTTACTTAAGTCCAACTGGGGACCACAGAGCTCATATTTTCATTTAGCACTATTTGACTATACATCACTCTGCAGGCATGTCAGTGGATGTCAGACTAAAAGGCAATAATAGATGCACTTACCCCAAAGTTAGAGGCAGCAAATCGGTCCGATGCGGAGGCAGTGGTTGTGGTGGTGGTGGTGGTGTGGGCGAAGTAAGCGTTGATATTAGCGAGCAGGTTGCTCATCACTGCTGGCACACCGGGACACATGTACTTGGCGGACAGACAGGAGAAGTGCCTGGAGAGGAAAAGAAACAGCTATTATTTTGCATAGTATAAGAGGCATTGAAATAGCCATGTTTGAACCAAATAGGATGGAGGAGTTTGAGACCCAACAATGACAGGCTTCCAGAGAGAGAAAAATATAAAGACACGCTTCAAAATTCACAAAGCTAAAAGAAAACATAGGTAAAGGTTTTGAAAGAATTCCCTTGAAATACATAGCTAATAAATTACCCATACCCCAATTATATGATTTGCTTCACAGTAATAAAAGAAAGTGAATAGACAAACTATAGTAGAATATTGGCTCAACCAATTCCCAATCTGACTGCTAAAGAGAGAACCAACGTTCAATGCTCCAATGGTGGAGGAATAGTTCATAAGTAGTTCAATGCCCTATTCATGTAGTATAGAAGGGCCTGAAATGACTATCAAGAGCAAATGAAGCTATAAATCAGCTGTATAACCTATACTATTAAGGACATAAGGCTGCAAAGTAAAATATGGAGCAAGTAGGTTTGGTAGTAAATCAAGGGACCCTGTGGGGGCTGAGATATAATCACATCCAGGGGAACACAGGAGACAAATGTAAGTTCTGCTGAGAACCATTTAACTGTTATGTTTGTTTCATTCTGTAACAACTACAACCTAGACAAATGCAAGCACAGCAAGTGTTTCCCATTGAGGTGAATCCAAACAAACTACATCTCAATAAGGTGCAGTGCACAGAAACATCACACACGTCAGCTTTCCCAGAGGAGACAGAAACATTACACACGAGGCCTTTTACTGCTGAAAACTTGATGTCTTCAGTTTGGAAGCATCTTATTTCTCCAGTGCCCTTTTAACTCCCCAAACTTCAAACCACACACAATGAAACAGGCACAATTTGCCGCTCCAGATTTGCGAGGATCTTTCCTTACACTCGAAGACACACATCTGCAACAGAGCAACACATCAGTAATTAAGCAGTGGAGCCAGAGAGGCCTGGTTTAAACAGAGATCTCTGCCTCACTGAAGAACATATGCTACTTTTAACACTTCGTACTGCTTTTTCACAAGCCATGTGGAAAGCCTCCCACATTACAATTCACTGGTACCTACATAGAGAATGGATGCCATCTTCAAACACCACATCAAATGATCATGATGGAATACCCCAAATACAAATGTATAAGTGCAAAAATCTGTATGTTTACTTTTATAATGAGAAAAATAAATGTGAGGGCTTCTTTACCAGCCTCCGGTGACCTATAGCAACCAAACATCTGGATGCTTTTTACAGTAAAGATCCCTGAGAGCTCGAAGCCAGCTGGGATTTATAATAAACCATGTGTAATGCTCATTCTGAAATCTATAGAAACCATTTTGTTTGCTGTCTTGAAATCGGCCTGGTACAGGTAAAGGTGTATCTTATTTTATCTTTCCATACATATCTATTTATATATATATAAGTTAGAGGTGACCATAAGTATCGTAAAGCTGGATGTTGAGCCTGGAGCACAGATATTTGAAACTAGAAACATCCTGCAAAGGTTAGGGCTTCATAAAGCCAAAGTGTTAGAGAAGGGCCAGGCACAGCGTTATGTGGAGTAATGATTACAGATTTACCACCCTCCAAAAGTGCAGCCCCACACACACACACACACACACACACACACACACACACACACAGACACACACACACACACACACACACACACACACACACACACACACACACACACACACTCACAAATAAACACAAACATGTTCTCATAGGGAGGCCTATTTAATTACTTTGCTTTCAGCCTCCAAATTACCCAGGAGCACTTGGGGTTAGGGGAGCTAAGAGAGTGATGCATGGAGAGTGATGATGGCATCCGCTGAATTCCCATGGTGCTTTTAGAGGTGGATCTCCTGAGCTCAAGAGGAAGGCGTTCCTTCTCCTCGTGTTACCTTTCCTGGGTTTTCACCAGCGGCTGAGACACACTGCGCACACACTCACATATCATTTTACTCTCTCGGATGGTTGGGAGAAATGAGAAAAAGATGATGAGAAACAGGAGGGTTAGTGGTAGGGAGTGGTGATAGAGTGCGATGAAGAAAAAACGAAAGTGAGGGAGGGTGTGTGTTGGGGGCGCTGTGTGGGGCACAGGAGGGACAGTGGAGTTTGCACAGCCGCGGTGATTTATGCAGCCATCAAGACAAGAGTGACTGGGAGTCAAGGCTCTGTGATGAAGAAAAAGGAAAGGTAGAGCCGTTCATAAATTCCTGATGAAGCATAATAAGCGCTGATATGAGAGACGCAGAGCTTTAACAAGAATCAAGCCTGAAGCATCACCTGGAGCTGAGAAACTGCTCATAAAGCCTCTGACTGCTTCACTTGTCTGCACTTAAAGAAGCCTGCAATCACTCATATGATGCAATACCATGTCACACTGACACAAGTATCTGTCACCTAGCAACAGTTAGCAGCACCAAAGTAATCTAACACTTATATATAAAACCCTATATGTGTTGTTATAGCAGCAGTTCCACGCCTTACTTATATGGACATAATGGATAATAATAGGGGGGTTTTGAAAGAGCTTCACATGGCGCAACAAAAACACATGTTTGCCCTTCAGAGCCAGTAGGAAGATAACGCAGGGAGCTACTGTGGGATGTATGAGGTTGAGTCATGTTCACTGTGATCAGAAAAGTGGGAGAGAAGAGGGGATCAAACATGCCTCCGGTCGAGTGGAAAGAATCAGAAACAGGGTATTTCACGAGTAATCCAACAACCTGTTGAACAACGGTTGATACCATTGATCTTACTTTGCGACAAAACATCAAAAGGCATATTCCAGGAGTATTTTATGACTCAAAATGTGCAGGGTATTTTGAGGAAATTATATAAAGACCGTACAAAAATACCCTTTCTCAGTGTTGCTTCACCTGAGGAATGCATGAGGATAGCTTTCTGGACATGAAAGCCAAATGTGAGCTGCGCCTTTCATTCAATTTGCCAACACAATCTGTGTGTAATTAGAGTCTGATTTATGGAGGCAGCAGGTAATTACACATCCAGCAACTGGGACTGTCCAACAAGTGTATTCGGAAAGAAAAGGAGATTCTAATAGGTGCGGATTGGTGGTGAAATTAGCATTTTTTTAATCAGCAGATCTGCATGAGATCACAATTTGGGGTAATGCAAATAGTCATTGACTGTTAACTACTAACTGAATTGGGTAAATGCAAGATAAGTCATAAGCAAACAAGGAACACAAGATAAGGGGGTTTAACCCAGAGCTCTTGTTTCTGCTTTTTTCACAAAATGTTTGGATTTGGATTTATCAATGGGCTGGGCTTTTACCAAAATGGCTTAATCCTCTAGTCTAGCAAATATGCAAAATAAAATGTGTTTTGTGGAATTTAGCATATTGCTCCACTGCTGTTAGATAGTAGTATGCTTTTTGTAGATTGTGTGTAGATTGTGTTGTCTGAACTCAGTAGGAGTCTTGAGGTGAAACGTATTTATTTGAAGCAAGTGTGAGTGTTACTATAACACATTGCAACAGTATGAATCAGTAAAAGTGTGGAAAAGAAACAAATAAAAGAATCCCACACTCCTTTCGGATGGAGAGTACATAAACGGAATAGAGACTGAATACAAAGTGGGTGCACGGTACTTATATATAAATAAAAACTGCAGTAGCCACTAGTCTACTGGAAGTGATGTCAAATTAGATGCATTATGCAGACTTCTGCACTGGTAACCATTATATCAAAACTGCACACTTCACATTGCATTGCATGACCTTGATCAATATTCAATGATTTTAATGTTCCAGGTGGTGTGTCTGTGCATGCGTGTGTGGAGGTGTGCATGTGTGGAGGTGTGTGCGTGCGTGCGTGCGTGCGCGCGCGCGCGTGCGTGCGTGCGTGCGTGTGTGTGTGTGTGTGTGTGTGTGTGTGTAAAGAAATGAAGAGAGACATTGAAACATTTATGGATGGACAGGGTCACTGAGGATCAGAGAGACGGAGAGATAGAGGGAAACAAGACTCTTTATGTGAGTCCATGATCAATGTGACCAAGGCAGGTTTGGAGTTTTTCCATGAGACCAGCAATTAATCAATCAAACTCAGGAGCTCGATAGTCCTCCAAAGCTCTGATTCTGCTGAGGAGACATCTTTACTACTGCTCTTCTCCTTCTTTTCTCCTTCTCTCATTCCTTCTCCCCTCCACTTTGCCCAATGAGACAATGAAATATCGGTGAGGTAAAAGGCCATAGATCAGGGTGGTACTCACGTCATAGCCTGATAGATGGACTCCACTCCGTATCTCATGGCGAACTCATCCACTATCTCCTGAGACACGTCGTCAAAGTAGACCTTCCACGCCTCGTCCCCTTTCACCTGCGGTATCTTCACCACGCCGCCGCTCTTCACCTCCGTCAGGTAGTGGAACAGGTTCTGAGAGATAACACAGAGCATGTTACGGTGATGGAGCACAGCACTGAATGACCCTTATCACAACTTTTAAATTGTCTTTTACAAAGCTGTAACTATTGATTGTTGCAAAATCCTATTACAGGAGTTTGCTTTATGATGTAATCACAACTGCTTTATTTTTTACATGCGTTCGCAAATGTTATACCTAGCTCCCAAAGATAATGATTGGAGATGAGAGAAAGTACATTTTTGCTGAATCATATAGTGAGGGGTTACTGTACCTCATGTAAACAGGTGTACTGGCCGTGAGGAGGAACCACGTTCTCCTCTCCTTTCATCTCCACGCTGATCTTGAGTCTGATGGCACCAGATACCGCAGACTTGTCAGTCCTTTTATCTGTAACACACAACCAAACTGGGTTAGCCATGACTGCAAATTAACTGATAAGAAACTGCCAATTACAAGCCACATCTTAGGGAGGTTAGCCAACATGTGCCTCCCTAAATCCAACCCTCTAATATTAAAACAATTCAGCTTCAGAGTAGCACTAGTGGACTGCAAATCTCTGTTTCTAAATTGTGTGCAATAGCCCTGCCTTTAAATGTTTCCACATAACAGCTGTTAATCAAACAAGGAAACAACGTATTAACAAGAAGATATCACTTTTATTCCATTCAGTTAATTCGGAAAAGCTCCAGCACATAATTGGTCCCAGTCAGTGAAATACAATAAACAGCATTATTGTCAACCTCGATAAAAATCTGTCCTTGACCACAGCTAAACAGAGTGACATTTATATACACTGATAGAAAACAAACACATTAATCATCTAAAACACTCATTGTTAAATGACAAGAACATAAATGGTATGACATCATGTCCTTTAAAACATGAATGGCATAATATCCCCGCTCACAGCCATAGAGTACAACACTTGCATTTGGGATATAACTGGCTATGATGGGTTGGAGGTTTAGGGGGTTTATTTAGTGTATGCAAATATCAGCACACATACTATACAGTACAAGCACATATTTTTTGCTGGGGTTTGCTCCACAGTTAAAGTGCCCCCCCCCCCTCTGTGCTCCCATACAGTATATGATTCATCACTATTGGATCAACTGAGGAAAATTTCATCCCTACAGTCATTTGGTCAATAGACAGACAAGTGAAAAAATAATAACGTGACAAAGTGACAGCGACTAGCACAGTAAACAGAAAAGCCCGGACTGAAGTGGAGCTGAAGAGGCTTAGAGAGGAGAGCAGCACCCACACCACACAGAGGCCTGTTTAAACATTCATCGTGGACATTTAAACAGGCACAGAGCAGCAGGAGGGTTCAGGGGTCGGAAATTACCACAAATTGCTTCCTTTTAGCTGGAGAGGCAAACAAAGACATCATCCTCCTTCATAATGCTCCAACACAAGTGGAAGCTCCCATTATGCTGCCATTCAAGCTCATGCAACATGGAGGAACCAGTGATGTATGAGAGGAAACAAGGAAAGACTCTGCATCATGTGTCTTCATGTTCTGTTTAGTGCAGAGGGAGTGTTTAGAGACAGTTTGAATGGAGATATTCTATAATGCTAATGGTATGTAAACCTTATGAGATGCTTCATAATCATAGAAATTATAACTTGGGCTGGGTATCTAAACATTTTCTTTTGGTATTGAAGTGTTTTCATGTGTCCAAAACACCAACATTAGAAACAGTCAACTTGGGCTGCAGCAATTGGTCGATACATCAAGTAATAGTTTTTAACTTAAATAAAATAATTTGGCAATAAAGTAAACTAGAATCTCAAATGTGGCAATTTTTTTAAGATTGACATCACCCTGTGCTGTGAGAAATTGTGAATGTATTTCCTTTCTATTTTGAAACGTGGGTTTTTCTGCTCCAAAGGACTTCACACACTGGGTTGTGATGACACCAAAATATGAATTACTCACCTGGAAATATTGTGTGTTGCTCTTTCATTGTGAAAGGTGAGAATGAACGTGTTTGATCTTGTATGTGTTTCCTTTGTGAATCTTCAAGTAGAATAAACTTGTCTCGGTTCAGACTATTGCACCTCTGTATTTTCTAATACTCAGGCACAACTAAGCCAGCAACACACAATGCGATTGGTTGATTCCTATATTTGAGGTGCAAAAGCTCATACAAAACAACCTTTTTCGGGAAAAATGTAAACAATGCCGCCTACTTTCATTTAATATGCATGTTCTGTGTCAAAGTATTCATCACAAAATCGATAGTTCCTACAAATATTAATCTCAAAAATGGTCCCCAGTGGGCAAAAGCCTTAAATCGGTTGTTCATTCAGTTAAAGCTCTTAAAACATTAGACATCTGTGGTGAGGTTTTGTTCAACTGAGAAAACAAGTTTTTGTTTATTATGGTATTAATCCTGAGACTCAGGTTTCATATCTATGTTGTACTGTATTAAAAAAATCAATATACATCTCATAATATCACACAAAGTAAATATTTTACCTGGAGATGTGCCATTACAACTGCCATCATTAGTCTTGGTGAATCAATATCTCTTGTATGCTGACTCTGAGATCAGATTACATACCTAGATTGTACCAAACATCCATCTCCCCGCTGAGGGTGCGGACCTCGATGATGGTCTGGCCCAAGAAGTCGTCCGACTCGCGCTTGAAATGCTGCTTCACCCGAGATTTGATGTCATCGTCTTCGTCCCACACTCGCACCTTGATGCGGTCAGTGGCGTTGTGACATTCACTGTAATTTGGGAGATGATAATGTCAAGTAAAAACAATCACAACAACATGAACAACAACAGAAACAGTACATTCAGTACCATCATCAGGTTGGGGGTATTCAGTGGAGCAGAATGACATCCAATTGCACCATTCAAGCATAAGTACAAGTTCAGAAACCTTCCTGACTCTTTTCCAAGTACCATATGGAGAACAATGCTTGCCTGAATTCAAATGAGAGTGTGTGTATTTGCGTGTGCACATTAGTGTATAAGAGTGTGGAGAAAGGCGCTAAGCCTGCAAGGAGGAATAACTCCAAGACGTTGCATGACCTTTCCTCTGCATCCCTATATATCTCCCAATGCATGCTAATATAATCAGCAAGGATTGTTTATTTGTGAAGGTTTTACGTCCCTCTCTCTGATCTTCTTTGCAGTGCTACAGCTGACAGACTTTTCACAATAATGTCTATGCTAAATAGAACGGAGGTGGCCAAAGCACTTAGCCTCAGATAAGGGTCAGACTGTACGGCTCTGGAATTCAAACCGACAGATTACATTTTGTTCTAATGACATCTTGGGTGCGACAGCCAGAGAAAGAGTATCTGCAGTGTTTTTTTAACTAATCCCTTTCCGGGGAAAGCGCTGGCTGCTGCCGCTCCACCAGTCTGGGACTCTCTGCCAAGCATACAGTAATGCATCGCTCTATTAATCTACATCCCTGTAGTAATGGGAAAGAGTTTTATTACAGCCCCCAACGGAGTCTCATTACAGGTGTGGAGCCCCGTTTGGGACTGGCATAGGACATCCACACACAAATACACACACACACACACACACACACACACACACACACACACACACACACACACACACACACACACACACACACACACACACACCAGATATGCATAAAACAGAACTCTAAAAATAATTTCAGGAACAGTGTCACATTTAAAAGCAAACAACAAAAAATTGAAATATACAGACAGGAACCTCCAGAGGTATGATGCTCGAAATCTCACTGTCTGCATGAATTAAACAAAGATGTCTTAGCTGCTATCTCATTGGTTAAAGTAAACATAATCCTGTGGATCATATCAGGACAGAGGGTCCCGGGTAAGAGGAAAATAAAAGATAAATACATAATGCAACGGTCTGGCTGGGTTTGACGCCTATTGGGTTTGGTGAGTGGTTTAGACCTGAGTCTAATTATATGTTCACAGTATGTTTGGGTTATAATACAAATGAAAGTTCACATGTTGGCCAACTTTCACAACCAATTATTATGTATTCATGTAAAGCTTGTGTAATAACTTTAATATATGCATTTCAAGATTTAGTTTTACACATATGAAGAGTTTTGTCTAGGCCATAGCCGTGTGATGCAGAAGCTGCAATCAGGGAACGACCTAAATATGACTGCTGTAAAAAACAGTTTAATCTGCTTTGAGTGCTTTGGTTTGGATGCAGGATGGGAAATTGATGTCTGTTTGGTGACAGTAGGTGATCAGGTGGGTCTTTGCCCTGTGAGAAATGCTAGTTGTTTTGCAAACAGCAGCAGTCTGATCAATAAACAAGTATGCATTGCAGAGTGTGAGCAGCGCTACCCGAGCTCCCAGCAGGATGTCTACTATTATGTCAAAATCTGCTTGATGTGTGAGAAGCGGCACATTCGTGTGTGCTTTCTCAATTCTCGCTAAAGTGGTCCAGCTCAAATTGTGTGCAATCTATTCACGTTTGATACGATAAATATAATAATGAATTATAGGTTAACATTATATTGGCATTTCTTTTACGACTTCCTTCGTCTTTGAGTGCTTAGTTGTGCATGACTCCTTCAAAACCATTCAGGATTTCATGTTTTTCGAAAAACATTTCAAGGCCTGGAAAAAAACATTTTGAAATGACAGTATCCGGCCTATAAATGACAGCATGACAAACATTTTAAGTCATTTGTATTAACCTTTGCTTCAACTCCCCGGACTGTTGGAAACCTGATGAAAACCTGATGCTCAAAGTATAACTAAATACCAACTACTTTCAAATACCATTTTGCACACAGGTCAGGGTTGAACCTTGAAGCTGTTAGGAGGAAATTACATGTTTCTTTTATACCTTGATCTTATTTTCAGAGTTGTGTATTGGGGTCAGCTTTGCGGGACTTGAACAGGTTTCACAAAAGCTGCAATTTCCTGCATTTTCAAAACTACTTAACGGGTTAAGTAAATGTTTATTTAGAATGTGTGAAGAATGTGTGAAGAATAACACATATTCTAACCAAAGGCGAGGCAGAGTGGTAAACAGTGAATTGGATGGTGATGTAACCAAGGAGAAAAGCCTGTGCTTACAATAAAGGGACAGATGCTTGGTAATAACAATGGAGAGGTCATACTCAACAAGAATCCACCTACTACTAAAGCATTAGCGTACAAAGTATTTATTTTGATTTTAAAACAACAAGGTTAAGCTTTGTGTTGTGTAAATTGTTAGATGTCATTGTTAAGCTGCCTTTAGCAGGGATTGAATTTCCCCAAAACTCTGCAGTGCATCTGGTGCGTAACATGTCATAAAATCAGTGATAAAAATAGAGTAATTGTCTCTTGCGTATTTACTAATGCCTTGAGAAGACCCTGAACTGCTGATTCTTAATCTTAGTGGGGATTATCTTGTTGGGCAGAGGTCAAATTAATAGAAAGCACTCACAAGAAGAACTTCTCATCCCAGACTGGGTTGAGGTTTCCGAAGATGGTCTTCGTCCTGCGTTTGGTCTTGCCCACCTGGACGGTGACGTAAGGGTCGCTGGAGCCCGTTTTATCCTTGGCCTGTAAGCCCTGTGCACTCATTACTGCAGAAACACAGGGTTGGAAGAACAATAAAGGATAGTAAGTACCACAAGCAGCATATTATTTCACCATCTTAAAGTTTTGATATGTCCCTGGATTTATTATATTGAAGGTTTCTTTCCCTGAACTTAATTACAACAGCACTGATCTCTAATTTAATTCACTCTATTCCCAGGGACATATTATTGTGGAAGTCATAAAGAGGAAGCATTGGCCTGGTGGCTGAAGTTTTACAGCAGCCCCTCAATCCCAGTCATAAAGCTACAATATGTGTCTACTGTGCTAAGACTAAGAATCTCACACACCACACACACACACACACACTGAGAAAGGGAGGTGCAGAGAGGAGAGAGACAGTAGTATTTCACCGCGCCATAAAAGGAAAAAGGACACTGGAGCATTAAATATGCATAAGTGACAGACTAAATAATTCAGGGTACATATATATCCCTCAGCTCAATGCTGACAGAAGTTGGTGTGGAGGATATAGAGGCTGAAGAGCCATGGCCTCCTTGCTCCAGGAGAACTGAACATCAAAAGAGTGGTCAGAGACTGCGATATAAATAGAGGGGTCACTTTGCTTTAAGGAATCAGTCAGCCCATCCCTCAGCATCACACCCAATGTCCGAACAGAGGGTCTGCCAGAACACAACTAGCAAAGCCACATTTCCTAGAAGCAAACAGTACAATTATCCCTCCCCCACCCTTCTGTATGAAGAACGGCCTTTTGCCACGCCTTTAAGTCTGGCTACATTTTGCATCTCCCAATGCCTTGAACTGAGTAAGGAGCACGGTAAGGGTTTTTAATTCTATATCTGTATTGAATCCTTTACTGTTATTATAATGATGTGTATATTCAACCAGGGCCATGCAGAAAATACATTAATCTCAAAAAGAGTAGAGATGATAAATTAATGCTAGATTTGAGTCTTTCCAATGTTAAGATGGAAAGAGCGTTTGCTCACAATCCATGTTTTTGCACCATGGAAAAAAGAGAGAAAGTCTATGCATGTTTTAAACTCAGCTGGAAACATATTCTAATACTGATCCTGTTAAGGTTGGCAAAAGTTGTAAATATCTTTAAAGGATTAAAACCAAGTTTACAAGACTGCCTTTTACTACAAAGTTGTATTGATTAGAGAAGAGCATAGTAACAGGGCTGTGTTTGAGCAAGGCTTTAGAAGAAAGTAATAGAATTGTTTTTAGGCAATATAAACAAAGGAAAATCTTCTACAGCGATGTAATTAACTTGATCTTACTGCGTGCTTGTATACTAATACTGCAATCAGTGCATTTGGAGGTACAATAGCATATGTGCTGATTAGTAGATCATGTTTAATTAGCAAAGGATCGTATAGTATGACTATAGTACCGGCAAGTCAAGGTTTATATTCACTGGCAGACCTTGTAGTATGCACATTAGCCAGTATGAGAATATCTCATGGTCACTGAGAGAGTGCTGCAGAGTCAACGCCAGTCAGTATTTATCTAATGAATGTCGAATAAAACACCAACTCAATAACTACATCTTAAAATGGGACGTTCAATAAGCCCCTGGGAAATCGAGTGAGGCACATGCGTCTTTTCAATGTCTCTCACTCTTCTTCTTCTCTTCTTTGCTATTCCCACACTTTCCTTCCACCTTTCAATTTGGCTCCCTCTCTCTCCGATTCTATTTCTCTCTGGTGTATTGGCACTGTGAGAAATGCGAGGTGAGCAATAAATGAGCTGGGCCTGGCACAGTGACCACAGAGCTGGATTGAAGTCGGGGGGTCGAGGTGACAAAGCTAACTTCCTGACCTTCTTTCTTTCAGTTGACTTGAAATAGAATGAAACCCAGCGATGTGTAATGTGTATGTAAATGAAGTAGTAACATGAAAGAAAGCCTAGTAATACTCAAGGATGATTATTCTTTATAGTTTTATGGAGTACTGAAATGAGGATAAACAATATAGGTTATGTAATCAGGGAGTGAAACATACTGTGGTAAATTAAAAGTAAATGAGGACATGGGATTCAGATCCTTTTCCCTCAAAAAGGACACTCAACAGACAGTGGTTATGAGAGTTAAGAAGAAACACACTATGCATGTTACATTTAAAGGGGCCCTATTATGCTAATGTTTAAGTTAATATGTATTTAGTGTCTCTACTGGGACATGTCTCCATGCTTTAATGTTCAAAAAGGTCTTTATTTTTCTCATACTGCCTGTGCTGCAGCACCTCTTTTCACCCTCTGTCTGAAACCAGAGCCCAGTCTGCTCTGATTGGTTAGCTGGCCGGCTCTGTTGTGATAGGTCAACCGCTTAGAGGTATCCCGCCCTTTTGCCTATCACGTACAATGTGTTAGAGCGCTAGCCAATAGGGCGTGTGTTACATACTGATATCACTGTGTTAAGGAAGTAATGGAGGCGTTTCAGGCAGGGGGGGGGGGGAGTGTTTGGGAGATAAATTCCCTCTGGGGGGAACTTTAACCTACATGCACAACACTTATAACACACTAAAGGAAAGGGAAACCCCCCCAAAGCATTATAGGGCCTCTTTAAGACTCTTTAAAGAGACACTGATTAATCTGGTTTAAATCCATCCAACCATTTTGTAACCCAAGGAACTAATACTGCCCTAAAAATAATTTCCCAACTGAACAAGCTGTAAAGTGCTGTACTGTCAAACTCGCTCAGGGGCACGACACTTTGATTGGCACCTCTGAGAGAGCTCTACGTGTAGCTGCAGTATGAACAAATCGGTTTGTTATTGAGCTCAGAAAGACATGAAGATCTCTGTCAGTTACAGCAAGCACTGTGTCTCTGCTATCAAACATTGCTTCTTTCTCTAATTATGTTCAATGTGCCTTTGTTTAACATTAGGCCATTTAACCTTTCAAGCCTTCCCACAGCTCAGCTCGTCCGTTGTTTTCAGTGGAGCAGCACGTCCCAGTCTGAGCTCCTGTTTGAAATGAATATGTAACTAAAAAGATGTCATTGTCTAGGTACACGAGTCAAGTGGATAGTAAAAGAACACGTGTCCTGTTTTCAAAATCTCTACTTGAAAAAAAACTACAAACGTATCTTTTTGCCGCTGCTTTTGATTGAGCTGTTCATATTTACACTGCAGTATGGCTTTTATTCATGTATTTTATACCTGTTGTGTTTATTTTATTATCTTTGCTTTTTAAATGCCTGTTTTCAAATGCCATTTTATAATGTGTTTCTGCTGTATTTCTTCTTAAATCTAATTTATTTTGTAAAGCACTTTGAATTGCCGTGTGCTGAAAGGTGCTATATAAATAAACTTGCCTTGCCTTGCCTTGCCTAAGATCATTTCCAATTACATCTCCCAAAAATCCCTGATCAATTCCTATTTCTATTTCTCATTCAATATGCATTGATGATTAGTTCAGCATCAGAGGTTCACGACCAAGATCACGGGGTTAATAACAAACTGATACTTATTAGAATAACAATATTTGTCATTTGAGATGAGCCTGACTGGTAATGGCATTTTTGTTGATTTGGCACCGGAGGGCTGAACAAAGAGGTTATAGGTCATGGACCAAAGGTCAAGGGTCACCTGCTGCAGCACCAAATGTATAAAGCATGTATCAACGTTCAGATGATTGATGGTTAACGTGCAAATGAGAGCTAATAAAAACTCCTCATCACAAATGAAAGATGCTGTCATAGTGAGATTATGAATCCGAATTTTGATGAATGTTTTGAAGAATTAACTTTCTGATATAAATACGGACACCAGGCTAACCTGTGATGGTGATTTTGGCCGACCACTTGGAGGTCCCATCCAGAACCGCCTGTTTGGCCGTCTTCAGATGGCTGGTGAGTTCTTCTTTGGAGACGTGGAACATCTCCTGGATCACCTCGAACACTTCAGGAGTGTTTTTCTCGCGGATCTTCATGCGCTCCTTCATAGCCATGATGATATTCTGGGTCTTGTCCTCCGCCCCGTGCTTGGAGCTCTTCTCCACCGCCCCTGAAACAAGAAGTCAAAGAGCTCAGTATTCTGCATATTTAATACCCAGGAATTAGGTAAGAAAACTGGTGATCCATCAAAGTGGCAAAGTATCTATCATATGTATTCACCACGTTTTTGTGGACACCATTTTTTTTAAATAACTCCTAACTCTCTGTCTCTTAAATACTGCAAGAGTGTACAATACTGTGTTACCCCATCCAAGAACCAATCAATTGTTGGTCGTGCTTTTTACAGTACTACGGCTTCCACAGATGACATTTTTTTATGGATTTTTTGTCAAAGCACTTAAGATATTCATTGCTATCGGGATGTTAAGAGCATTCCATGGAATATAACAAAAAGTGTATCTCGAGCCGGTTTCTCAAACTTACCTACCCTACCTTTAATTATGTGAATGTGTGTCTGATAGACAAAAGACGTGACGGTTCATTCTCTGTATCTGATAACAGTATTATCATTCCAGAGTGTGTTCATGAGAGCAGATTGAAATGTGATAAAGATGAATCACAGCTTGAACTGCAAAACATTGTTCTGCTGGAATAAAACTGTTATAAAAAACGGCCTGGGTGTAGCTAATCCATTTATAGTGTGTGAGGATTGCCGCGAGGATCATCCTGAAGCCGGCATGTCACATTGTTCCTGTTTGACTACGCCGTAACAACAGGGTGAGCCTGATTGAAAAAACTGATTGGAGGCAGTGATGAGTGCGGTGAGCGGTGTAAATGCACCGTGTAGCAATAAGTGCAAGGGGATATGTAAAATGTATTACACAAATCCCCGTAACAGCATTGACGTGTCCTGCAGGCATTTCAATGTAGTGTTGGTATTTATAGAAATGTGGGAGATGAAGTGCATTGCGGACACCTAACAGATTCCCAGACAAACCATGTGTTTAGGTTGAACAGATTCAAAACATTTTGAATGATTATAAGCCAACAGTTTCAAAACAGTAAATCTTAACATCAGACTGTAAGATCATAAATATTCAATGAAATGAAAGATTCACTATATGGAGTTCATAGCATATCTATGATGGAAGGATTGTCTTTGCACAGATCTCTCCACATGCCGACGTCAATGCTAGTAGCTATTCGTGCTAGCAGCTAAATTAGCAAACAACAGCAAACAGTTCACAATTCATAGAGCTAAATGTTTTAACCTGAGAATGAACCAGAGCGCTAGCTTCTGTGACAACTATGTGGGTCTGGACAACGTTATCAGCAGTAACCACTGTAAGAGCACAGGACAATGCAGCGGCCACAGCTAGCCACACATGTGATAGCATGCAGGCACAGCCGGGACTGCTATGCGCATAGAAGCTCAGATTACAAAACACAGTGAACTTTATTCTCTGCTCAGGTAGTCATTACTCCAGAATGTTGAATATAGTAAATAGCTGCATTATTAATGTTCTGAATGTCATGCATAAATACATTTGACATGTAAAAACTAGAATGACTGCAGTTTTTGTGAATTTATTTTCTATACAATGCAGCAAATCACACTTTCTCTCTCTCACAAAGACACAGAGCACTGTCCTCACAAAGGCACGATTGTGAATACATGCCTTTGTGTTTTCAATCCTGTGTGATCTGTACATCAAAGCAAAAATGAATGCACTTCCTTACTTTGTAAACAATCTGCATTAAGCAGGTCCTGGCACTTATCGTGGCATTTGACGCCACACTCTGAGCAGCGCATGCCCTGCCGGGCGATGCCCCACAGCAGCCCCTCGCACTCATGGCAGTAGGTCGGTGCCGTCGCCGTCCACACCTCAAAGTTATGGGGTGTTGTGGATGAAATTGGGTAGATCAAGGCCTGGAGAGTCTTCTTGAAGACATGTTGTTTCTGAGAAAAAAGAAAAGGCATGGAGAAATTGAAAGAAATAATGAGGTATGGAGACAATGACAGACAATGAAGTGAGAAGCAGAGGAGCTAGGCTGACTCATGGCACTATGAGCTTGAGAAAATAACAGTCTTAACAACTTTAAAAGTTAATAAAAAAGCAACTTTGTACCAAGATTGCTTTTCATAAATGTTCAATACATGGTGAGATCAGTAGAATAAAAGAGGAATATTTCAGAACCTGCTGAGGGAAAGCAATAGACTAATGTCATAAAATAAAGTTAATTTCAAAATTGATTTGCAGTGTGAGTAAGATTACATTTACAATAAACTTCTGTGCCATAGTAATCTTATTTCTCATCTTTTATTAATCGGCCTGCAGCTATTATTCATCACAACTCCAGCTTTTTTCAACTTCTCTTCTTAGAGAAAGGGATCTAACAGATTGTACTATTCGAAGAAAAAACATGTATGAGGCTTTGTTGATCCTTTCTGATTACCTTATCATCAAATGGAGAGGTCAGTTGAATGAGAGTGAATCAGTCAAACATCTCATTAAGCTTAGATTAACTGGCCACTGGCTTTGTTCACATTGAGTGGTTTACTGACTAAAGCTCCTAGAGACAAAATAAGAAAGTCTTCGAGAGGCCTGTCTGATTGCTGTGTAACAGAAGCCTCTTCAAATTGAATGCTTTACTGCAGCAGCCCTGCCATCCACAAGGACTGGAAAACGGCCCGGGACTTGCCAATTCTCGAAGGCAGAATCAATGGATGCTGTAAATAAGGTTTTTAAAAGTGAGCATTATCCAGATTGAGAGGGAGCGTGCAAGCGAGGGAGAAAGTGACAGAGGAAGAGAAGGAGATGTATGGCGGTTGAATAAATCTTCAAGAGGTACTTGCTCTCCACTTCTTCTACGCTCCACTCCTCCCCCCCCCCCCCTCCCTCTGCTGTCGGCCCCATGTGTGTTGTGCTTTAACACCTGAACAGCAGCCCTGCACTTCACCACAAAGACTGCTTCACTGCTCACTCGAGCACACTTACAGACACAAATACCCACACACGTACACTTGCACATGATGAAATGGCACCAGATGACAGGACAAGAAGGCCCTCTAACATTGTGAGACGCTGTTGATGGAACAGAGAGGCCACTGAACCCTGGGAAGCTTTAATGAAACACAGAGGCAGAGACAGCAAGATTTTCCTTTTAATCTAAGGACGATGAGATGAAGCAGATGTCTGAGATTTATCCACAACTTGCACACAAGCTAGGTCAGGGATGCACCCGGAAGCTTGCTCTTTGCCACATGTACTAGTGAACCGTTAAATAAGGACACAGCCTGAAGGAGATGAGTGAGCCAGAATTTCTGTGGAGCGTGGGAAATCTCAGAGACCTCTCCATCATGTGTTTTTATCAGAGGGCTGACTTGGCAGGTAAATAATAAATATCTATCTGTTAGCCTCTTTCTGACCCGCCAACTAAAAGTTAAAATGGTACTAAGCATGTACTACGTAAAACGGTTCCACCTTGGTGTTTTTTTATACAGTAGTAGTTCACTATTCATCTGTTTCTGTCTCTTTAAATTTCCCTCCCTCTCTCCGGCTTCTCACTTTCAGCCTCTGACGCTGGACGTCACACTGTGCAGCAGATGTGGGAAGAGTGCTGCGTGTGTGCGAGTCTCATGTGTTACACCGTGAGGTAACCCTGGTGATTTTGTGCAAGACACTGCAAGAATTGATTGACAGGCGCAGCGTCTGCCTGAGAGCAACATACAGAGAGGAATCTAATCTCTCCTCCTCCTTTCACCCCTCCATTTCCAATTTCACCACCTATTGTCCTTGTCAACAGCTTCATTGGCAGTGCCATCCTCACCGTCCTGCTCCATCCGTCAACACCTACAATCTTTTACTTTAACTACCTTTCCAGCCCTAACAAGGAATCCATGGTGGTTTTCGCAAACCACAAGACAGTGGGGTTGATTTGGATTTCTGAAAGTACTTTAAACAGAACTGATACGATGAATCGAAAACTCATTTATTAGATGATGAACAGGAAAATAATCACCAACTATATTGATAATCAATTCATCATGTTAATAGTTTTTCATGAAAAATAAAAGACAATGTTGCTTTCAGCCTCACATATTGAGATTTCTGGATTTAGTATATGATATAAGACAGAACCCTAACATTTAAGAAAAACAAATCTGGTAAGTAATTCACGGTATATACTATTTTATGAATGATTGGTTTTAAATGGAAGAATTATGCATCACTTTCCACTAGAGCTGCAACCATTGTTCAACTGATCCGTCAATTGGCAGAAAAATAATTGCCAACTATTTTCATAATGGATTAATTGTGAGTCATTTTTCATGCAAACATTTGAAAAAAAGCTGCCTCTAAATAATGGAAATGTCCTGCTTTTCTCTGGTTGAAATTCAATTAAAATGTACATTACATATATGACTGTATATCAAATCAATGTCTTTTGATTTTGGAAATAAAAACAAGACATTTAAAGACATCACCTTGGACAAAACTAGGATGGACATTTCATACGATTCTCTAGAACAAACGATAACTTATTTATCTCGAAAATAGGCTGCAAATAAATCTATACTGAAGAAAACATCAGTGACGGCCATCATTTTAAACTCAATCTATTATTTGTCTGTCTGGTAAGATTCAAACGACCGTTCAAAATGACTGTGGTGGATATCAGAGGCAGGCGTCTTGAAATCAATGTCGTATAATGTTGCCGCCTGATGACATATGAACCGTCTTCAAACAACGCATCACATCTTATTTCCTGATACTCTTTGACCCATGTCAGATTGCGGCCCTCTTGGTCCTTTGTATAACTGAGTCAATGCCTTTGTCTCAGCAGGTAACCGCAACCCCAGTTCTTGTTGACAGTGACTGTTAAAAGGCTCTGGTGCTTGGATCACATGCAGCTCAAAACATCGAGCGGACACACGGTCCGTTAGCTGGCGCACACATAATGTTTCTTTCTGCTCTAAAAAGCAGAAACATGGGACACATGACGCATGAGGAGAAAGAGAGAATTATATATACGTCACCAATGACAGAGTAAGATATTTTAATCATATTCAAATGTATTACGGTGACAGAGGAGACAAATAGAAGAGGTGGAGCAGAGATGAGAAGAAAAGAGGATGGAAGACAGAAGCTCTCTAAATAGGTTAAACATCTCTCGTGGGACGGATTGTTCAACATGGCTGGCTGATCAGTGACAAATCAGGGCCAGAGGGTCATGATGAGGAGCTCTGATCTTCTCTCATTCTCCTCTCATTTCCCTCCATTTATCACCCTTCCTTTCTCCTCTCATCCCCCAACTCCTACACACTCTTGAACAGCATATGGCAGTTTACTGACTACTCTCGCAGCCCTCACAGGAAAGCACTCTCCTGGACTTAATGCAGCAGATAAAACTCTGACATCTGCTCGTCCTACTTAGCAAGACCACAACATCTGCAGCTTTGCTCAGAACCGGGCCGCCCTCGGCCACCGATTATTATTATTCTCTTTCTTTGCTAGCTCCGATTTAGATTATTGGACATCTCACCCTCAAGTCCTTACTTACCACTGTGATGCAATCTCCATTTTTGCCGAATAATCATTTCCCCTTCCTACACCAATTAACATAGTGCATCCATCACGTCATTTCTCCCTCTCATCTGGGGCATGAGTCGTTCATCCCGAAAGCCCCTTTCATAAGACCCATAGCTATTAGTAAGCAATCAAGACCCTGTCACTGTAGGGCAACGGAGCATGTGGACCACAAGGACCGAGTCAAGTGATACGGACATCTACACAAATCAGTGTGCCCAAATTGATGTCTCATGTTTGAAAAGATGAAATATGTGTGTATGATGTACACAGTAAGTCGGTAATCTCCTAGGTTTATGCAGCCCCTTGTTGCACACCATTAGATATGAAATTGTCTGCTTGTTTGTCTTGCTGTGAAACTGCTTTCTCCTGCTGTTTGCAGCCTATAATGCCACTTCCCTGAGGGGGGGAAGAATTGAAATCAATTAATGTGGAGAGAGCTTTCGAGGTGTCTCACTCCATCTGCCTTCTTCCGTAGCGTTCTCTTCCTCCATGCTCAGTGGTTATGAGGGCATGGTCTGAATGGAATAATGGGGCTATCCGAATATCTGAACTCCTCCAAATAATCGAACAGGAGGAGCACAGCGGAAGGAGAGAGCAGCTGGCCACAAAGACCATTTTAATAAACTGTGGCTTGTTTTATAAACTGAGTCAGGCAGACAGATGATGGCATGCTGTATAAACAACCAAAGAGAAAATGCCAGTAGCTAATGCAATCCATCTCATTTTGGAATCATGTGCTGTGTTCCTGGCAATGTGATCCCAGGCCCTGAAGAACAATGGCTGCACAGCTATAAATGTTTGTTGCTGCACTCTCCTCTCAAAACACCACCCCCTAAAATATAATGAGAACATGGGCACAGCATCCCACGTCCCTGCAGTGTATCCCATTACCCATAAGCCGCCACAATGAACAGACAAGGACTTTTCATGCAGCATGTTAGTACTCACCAGGTCTACATCATTCAGGGTGGACCGGTTCACCAGAGCGAACGAGATGCCTGCCTTTCGAGCAGTGAGGGTCTGCGAGAAGAAGAGGAGAGAGATCATGAAGAAGGATACATCCAGGAACACATTTTACATATCTGCCGTTTTGTACAGTATCTGAATGGATTCACACGCAGCAGCATGTAGCTGGTGAATGGATATTAAGCCTTGCAAAGATTTGAGGTACAAACATAAAATCATTTGGATAAGGAAATTAGCTAGCAAAAGTACATGAATAGATACAAAATGTTTCTGCAGACAAAGCATTCATTGTTAGCTCTTGTTTCCTTAGCTTGTGAACAAGTGAAAACAGAGTCAGCTTACCAAAGCCTGTGATTTCCAAAGAGGCCGTGAATAGAGAATGAAAGAAAGGAAGAAATTGAATTAGACAAGAAGTGGGTGGATGAATGATGAAAGCACAAACAGCAGAAGAATTGTATTTATTATCCAAACTGAGCACATAAGTGTCTCTACTGCCATGCAGGACTGCTGGTTAGGCCGCAGCGCTCTAGAAAGATTCAACTATTCATCAAGAGAAATTATACAGCCGTTGCATGATTTGTTTTATCCACTCATGCACTGGAAGTTACTAAACTGCAGTCATGCTTGGCATTTATATTCAGTTCTCTGTTGGATGAAGCTTTGATCATATTTTCTGCTGTCTGCTCTGCACATTAGTTTGACACAAACAGAGAAACACAAGACGCACGCACTCACGTATGGGTGAAGCCAGCTGTACTGCACAACACAGACTCTCCCACACACACACACACACACACACACACTCACAAATATACTTAAACATTAAACAGAACACGCCCACACAAACAAGTAACAGACACACACACATATACACATATGTAAATTAGCTGTTTCTATATCAACTGAGTTTGAGTGACCAGAGATTGTTAAACAGTTATCCCATACTGGAGAAAGTTACGATATTTAACAGAGGAATGCAGACATGGACAGCTGACAATATTGGATCAGTCTTTACCAAGACCCTCTTGAGTGTACAGCCCAGCTATGGTAAAGATCCATGGCAGCCATGGAGTATGTAGGAGGGAACGTGACCTCTACATGAACCGTGAGTGTTGATGTAAGTTTATCAACATGCACCAGCACTGCTGAGGTTGCTACGGGCATTACAATATGACCCTGTGTCCAGATGATATCCATTCGACTACAATATAGCATCAAATGCATTGTGAATCCATTTTCAACACTCTGTTTTTTTGTTTGTTTATGTTTTTGCATCCCGCCATGGTGCGGGGGGACCCTGCTGTCCGTTCCAATTAAACGCTGCTGCTGCCCGGAAGCAATCACACAGCAAACGGGGGTCATTGACAAAGGAGAGGCATGAAAGGGGACCAATTAGTTTGCTGAATACTGACTTCATCCCACGTGTAAAAGGCTTGCTCAGTGTCACTTTTACATGATTTAAAAGCCCCACACAGTTAAATCAGAAGTCAATGAAGTCTCTCGGATATATTTTTGGGTGGAGTTGTCATCATTTCAAGTTAAATGCAATTTTTTTCAACACCTGCCGAGCAAAAAAGTTAAAATGAAGAAAAATGCCCAAGCATCGGCGAGGCTGAAATCTGACAACTCACTGAAAAATATCACCCATAGCTGTTATGGGTCTATGTAGGAATGGCATATATACACGCAAAATCCAAAAAATAATTATATTTAAAAACGACAACCCATACTTACCAAGACATTGTTGGTTATTAATTTCATGAGAGATATGGACAAATACAGCATCAACTCATGTTGTTCACTGTAATAAACATTCATCAGCATCTACGTGTATGACATCAAGCTGCATCATTATATTTCACAAGAAAAATATATTGTGAGAGTATCAAACAGGTTGTTTTAAAATAAACTGAATTTAAGAGCTCTGATTATTGTTTTCCAATATTTTGACTAGAATACATGAAGATGAAAAACAAACATACACAAGACAGACGGACACTGTGCAGCACATAATGGACCAACAGTTATAAACACACATGAATAGTATTGGCACGACAGCATGTTGTCTCTCAGAAAGGCTAACCATGTGGCACAGTGCTAGAGTGGACCACTCTGCAACATGCGTCTCTGTGGGAAATGTTACAACACATTATGTTGCAATAAAAACAAATGGGGGAGCATCACTGTGATGCAATATCTTAAACACCCTCGCTAGGCGAATTCATCAAGCCATAGAGTTATGGCTAAGGTTACATTAAAAACTCCCACAAAGCAGCGCTCTACACTCAACAAAAGGGCTTTAAGTGGTTGCTTTTATCACCAATCAAACTCTTTACTGGCGTGTTTTTATCACAATAAAAGTTGATGGGCTTTTTTTTAAAAGCTATTTAATTTGTTGAACTATAGCAGGTCTACATATGGGAAGAGAGCATTTGTATTCCTCCCAATTGTATGCGTGTGTAACAAACAAGTACAAAAAATAACATATCCAGATTACGTTTGATTACCATTGCTGTGTTAGAGAATACAGCTTAAAATAAACAAGGGATATCATATAACAATAAGAAACAAACATGATATTGTGTTCCTAGTAAAGTTAGTATTGTCTTCTGCAGGGGTCCATACTCACACAGAGCAGGATTCCACCAGCGTGGCACAATGTGGGGTCACTCAGATAGATTTGACATAAATCACACATAACCTTGTTCAGGCGGATGACTCACCAGGTCTCGGACAAGAGGCACTATCCTCTTGCGGCGTAAATCTGGCATGCTGTCAATACCATAAAGAATACTGCCAGACCTGGAGAAGCAGACAGATTTAAAGTGTATTAATATCATAATAATGCCATGCTGGGGGAGACATTACAACGGAGAAAGGGGGGCTTTGATTTACACAGCCGGCGATGCCATGGATCACGCCTCCTACCTAACCTGTCCCACCCCGTCCTCTGCACTTCACACGGGGCCGACCACCAACAGGAGAGCTTCATGTGATCCCCAGATGTTACAGAAGTACTCAGATCTTTTACTTATAAGTTAAAGTAGCATTACTAGTGTGTAAAAGTACTCTGTTACCAGGACAAGTTCTGCGATAACAATGGTACTCAAGTAAAAGTATTTGCATCCAAATCTACTTAAAGTACCAAAAGTACAAGTACTCGTTATGTAGGAAGGACAATTTACTTTGTGTTGCAGCTGGTAAAGTTGTAGCTAATTTTCATTAATTATTCTATTATAGTTTATTAGTTGATTTATGGTTTGATTTATTCATCTAAATCTGCAAAGTAGCTAGTATCTAAAGCAAACATACTGTAATTGCAGTTTTAAAAAAAAAAGCACAATGTTATTGCACAAAATGTAGTGGAGTAAAATGTTGAAATAGCATAATGTGAAAATACTCAAGTACCTCAGATTTTCACAAAAGTATATTGATTGAGTGATTTTACTCTTAAGTATTACTTATTATCTGCTGGATCTGTAGACCCTGTCTCTTTTATTTGATCTAAACGCTTATATTGCTGCATTAATACCTGTTAATACATATATCATTGAAATGCATTGTTATTACATTTTTAAATACTGAAGTTGGAGTTATTTTCTCCATTCCTCAAAAGTAGACACTTGAAGATGACTTCTCCTCAGTCTGCGCAACACTTTTTTAATCTCTAGGTTTTGTCTCACTCTCTCCATCCTTCAACTCTCTTGTGCACTACTTTGCTCCCTCGCTGCTTTCCCGTGAGGCTCTCAGTGGCATCACCTCAACTGTCACTCAAAGCCTCTATAATGACCTCAACATGACATCAAGGCCCCAATGCCTCCACAAAGATAAAACTCCACAAGCTTTCCTGTCAGTGCTCTCAGCGACATCAGTGGAGTGACCCTAAAGATACACAACGTGACGAGCTGTACCGCCCCTCGCCCCTCCCGAGGAGCCGTGCTTCCCGCTGCCTCTTTACACTAAGCAGGCTGCAAAAGGCTGCAAAGTGCTAGCATTAGCTGGGGTAATGGAGGTTAAATATGATTGTTAGCTGTTTTTTCTTTATGACAACATCTGTCTTTCACGTAGGTTTTCTACAGTGATCGTTTGAACGCATTTCCGAGTCATTAATTAGGTGTGTGAAGCCAAGAGGTTACGGTTCTTTACAGATGTTGTGAAGGCATCAAACATCTTGAACATTCATCTTCTCGCTGTGGTTGGTCACAACATTGGGAGTGGGACATCTTAACAGGGACTGCATGCCAGAGAATCAGCATGTCTGCAACATTTGTGCTTCATATGCCTCAGCATGGGGGTACAAAACAGCACAGTAGCAAAGATTCATGTACTTATAAACAGATTAGATTGGGAAATGAGCCACAACTCACCCTCCAGACTGCAAGCCGAGCAGTTTGGGGTCCAAAAGACTGCGAGGCTGCAGAAAGAAGAAACACACGATGTAAAACAAGCAATACAAGGTGAGTGCAAACACCTCAACACAAAGCGAGCAGGAGCTAAATGAAAACAAAAGAAAAAGTATTTGTGACTTTGGGTACTTTGGGAAATACAGTACAGGTCATTTCAGGATAACAAAATGATAGGGGAAATACAGCACAGGGAGAAGGGAGGGAAGCAATACAGGCAAAAGACCAAATTATTCCACATCAATGTAATTTGTGGACTGAAGACTGAGAGTGTTGCCGCTCTCAGTGCTTCAGGCAGGGTTTGAGTATTGTGTAACACTCGCTCTTCACTGACCAAAAAAGTTCAGTTTGCAACACAAATCAACGTCAGCAAAAGGGATAACACGGATAACCAGCGCAAAACAACAACAACAGGATGACTCAAAGGCACAGGATACATTCTCTTTCATACTTCCGGATATCATTTCTATTCATCTACAGAAAACTACACACACTCTTACGGATACAGCCAGGTATTATTTCAAATCCGCTTCAAAATACACACTTAATCCACACACCACAAAAGACAGATTTAAAATCATGTACACAAAGACATGCACATGCTATAAATCACAAGGGGTTCATGTGGTTGACGATAAACAATGACTTTAAACCTGTGTATCCAAATCTCCGCTGTCTGCAGGGAGAAAATGACAGAAATGTGGAGAGTTAGGGAGCAGCTGGAAAATATACACACTTAGTTAGGCCACTTATCTGCTATCACCACCTGATGACACAATTCTGTGTTGCTAAACAATTTATGCAGAAATGGAGACACAGTCAACATTTGCCTCAAGGAGAATGGCTTTGAACTCTGAATACCTTATGAAGTAGAAGTAGAAAAAAAACCAGGAGGCTCTCAGATGACGGTCGAAAGGCGAACATATATAGTGTATGTAGATTAAATCTATGCAGCACAAATTAAACAACGATGCCTTTGATATATAACATCACCTGAGTTAACCATCATATCTATAGAGACATGGGACATTAGGTAAGCATAGCCGGTTGGTTTCATATTGCCATTTTGAATGCAAACGACGAGAGGGCAAGCTCTTTCAATAAGCAAGACTGCAGAGGTGTAATTACTGTGCGATTGATCCATGGGTGATAAATGGCAGCACAATCATGACCTAACGTGTTGCAAACAGAAAACAGCTGTTCACAAGAGAACGATCAAATTACTGCTCTGATTAAAATGACATGATACACGGTTTCTTGTCTGCGTGCAGTTACCGCATCATCAGTATGAGGCAATGCAAATGAGCTTCTTTCACTTGTATCTATTCAAATGGGTTTGGTCTGCTTGGTTGAAAGTTGTGCCCTGGTAAAAAATCACATCATTAAATTATGAATTGATAACCATTAAAACAGCAATTACTCCCGACTTGCCCAATGATTGAGAACACAGTACATAGCATTTGCGGGATGCTATTACACAGTGCGCTTTAGGACCATTAGTGTTTACCACAAGTGCATATCTTTTTATAATGACCGTCCTTATGGAGGCGCTGGTTCTATCAAAAAAACCTTTATGCTCAATCAGGCTCACAGTAGGTATATTGGCCCTATTATAGAACATGTTTACATGCTTTAATGTTCTAAAAACACTTTTTTGCAAATTGTATACCTGTATTCAACTCCTTTATGAAATGCTCTGTTTTAGCGCTTACTGTATCCCTGTCTGCTGTTATTGGCTTGAGAGGATGGCTTATTTCTCAAGCCATTGTTGGAGATACTCAGAAAGATGGCTCGTATATTCTATTAAGCCTATATGTGCCAAAAAGAAGGGCAGCCAAATGTGAATGGCTTGTAAATGCCATGTCTTCTGACCGAGGCAGCCCAGAAAATTCAATTTGACAGGATTTTTCCGACTTTAAATGCTTTCAGTAAACACTTTACCTTTTTACAATTTAACTATTCAAGTATATATAGTTCAGGAAAGGCGTATATTTGTAGAGAAACTGCAATCTTAGTACAACTGTGCGAATATATCTTTTTAGGGGGTATAGGCGATACAAAAAGGTTGCACACACGCAGAGACACAGCACTCAAAGGAGAGCTAAGCCGAAAGTGGGTGCCATGGACAGCGATCAGCTAAGCTACTTTCAGCACTGCTATACAAGATAGAGCCATCTCCTCGAGCAGCGAGTCTGTAGCTGCACTAGATAAAGCCAGACCACAAAGATAGGCTATAGGCTGCTGATATAAACCTCATTTCAAAGGTGCCTTAAATCTGTGGAACAAAAATGTAATTGATTGGTAGGAAACAGCCTCTCTGTGTGCTGCGTGCAACATGTTGAGGTTCCAGCAGTAGCAGTAAATCCTGTATTTCAGTACCGACACACTCTCACGCTCTGTACATAGATCCAAGCTTGCCGGAGCAGAAAAGCCTGCACATGGCTGATAGTATAACCAGGACTGACCCCTGCTCCAACACACGGAAACATGTGTTTTTATGTGGACACGTTCAGGCATACATTAACACAGAGACGCACTAACGCACACATAGTGGTGTGTGTCTTGGTATAAATAGAAAACACACAGTGGTGGAAACAGTCCTCTTTGCCAGCATGGAAATCAATATTAACTCCAGAAACCCTTAATCAGCGATGAGTCATTTTGTGAATACCATTATTTTTACAGATATTCTTGAGTATTCAACACAATACGTATGCTATGATCGCAGTCCAAACGTGTGAGTGTGTGAGGGCATGAGGATAATTACAAGGGAGCTTATGAAAAACTGAGGTAATTAAGATAATAAAGAGGACCAGGACCTCTGATAGCAACTCAAAACCTCTAGCCTTCTTTGGAAATGTAAGGCTTGAGTATAAAAGCTAGCAAGACTGCAAGAGTATATGGGCATGAACACGTCCCTTAAGTGCGGCAAATACATGTTCCCTATGCTGCCAAAAGCTACGGCCCAGATGCCTTTGACCCTTTTTTTGTTAGTGAGAATAAAATAGATTTTATACTAAATAACTTAGACAAGGTTAATCTCTTCAGCCATATTCACATTGCCATGTTTTTGTACTTTTAATACATATGGCGTGAACTGAGGTAAGTTCCGGTAGAAGTCCTTTAAAATTACCTTTTTTTTCAATAACTAATAATTGACTCTCTCTTTTTTGCCTTTATTAGTGTTGCCATATCATTGTGTAATTGAAAGCGCTATATAATTGCCATGTATGATCATTATTTTGAGTTTTTAATATATTCATATCGCCTACATTGCATATTGTCATTTCAGTATGGGGTTGGAACCTTGCAGCGTATCTAGGGTAATAACATCTCAAGCGTTACTTTTGCACATTCTGCTAAATATTAAATCCACAGACCTCTCTGCAGAGAGCAGAAGGATTGTGTAAAAGTACATTCAGGGAGAAGCAGGAGAGAGGAGAGACCATGAGGGCATGGCTGACATGGCTGACATGACCTCCAGTTGTGTTCTGGCACATGGGACCAGCGCAGCGAGACCCCAGCACACAGCATGCTGTCGGCCGCAGACCTGAAGTGAAACCACCCTGATAAAAATGGAAGAAAAAAAGCTCACTGGAGCAGAAAAACCTTCTGGTGTCAACGAAAACACTCAGTTACTAGTCTCTACGGGAAAGTGACTAAATATCTGAAGTGAAGCATAATACTAGCATCTTTTAATAGAAAGTCTTTCCATCACGCAAACAATAATGCTACACTGTCAGCTAAATATCAATAAACATTCAGGTAAAAGTTAAAAAGACATGCATAATGTAATACTTGAAATGTTCTGCTTTTATGATATTTATGACCAGCTTTTTTAGCATTACCTAATGCTGCCTAGTTCAACCAAGGCTTCTGAGGCGTGCAATATTAACACATAAGAGAAACAGTTCTGGCCTGGTTGTTAATGAAAATGTCCATATTCCCATTCAGTGCAAAGACATGATTAAGGTTGACCTTCATGCTGCTGCTACATTGGCCTTCAACACTTGCACTTTACTAATGATCACAATTTGTTTCTAACAGCAACAGTCAACCTTGGTTTATTTTAGAAAAATCTTCCTCTGACTCAGTATTAGTTCATCAGACCCGACAAAAAGTACTTATGGGCTGGTGTGTCTTCATCCCACAAGTAGGCAGATTCAGGTTATCTAAAATATAATCAATTTATTAATTATATATTCATTTGTGAAGGTCAGACCAATTTTAGTATTTTATATTATGAATTCAAAATGAACATAGTGTCGACACTTACAATATGATCAATAAGAATTTCAGTTGACTCAAATATTGATTATTATGTGCTCGGTTCGGTGAGTTCCCGACAGCTGTGATATTTTGATGAAATGTATATACAGATTTCTGTATTTATTTATTTATGACGTTATGTTGGATTTTCATAGCCTTCAATGCATTTATTAGTTGACTATATCATTATATAATCGATGTAATACATTTTGTTTCATATTATCATATATTAGACAACTAAAGGCTGTATTATAAATCATTTCTGTCTGGATACAGGATGACAGATCTGTGATAAAACAATGAGAGCTTTCACCCCTCCACGCTTTGATGTAATGACATGTTGTGGCTCAGAGTGAAATGTGAACGTCATGGGTGCCTCTGCTACTGATTTGTTCACTGCTTGTCCATCTGATGACTCAAACAATACCACATGACCAGACCACATCCTCCTATAGAAGAAACATGCATCATCTACTGTATATGTGAACTCGCTGTTCCCATCAGCTCCGATTTCTTCAGCTATGACTAAATGTGTTTGAAGCTGTGTCAGGCTGATTTCAGAGGGTTCATATTATTCAGTTTCTGCTCAACAGTTCCAGCCTATAGGCATGAACGAGGAATAGAACATTAGGGTAAAACGGGGTAATTGGCCCTTCTATTTAAAGATATGTGCATTTTGTTTTTTAAACTGAGATCTAATTTGAACATGGCAAAACTACTATAAAATATTTAGTTTTATGTTATTATTCTAGTGTTATTTAGTGGGAAAAGTATAAGCATGATGATAAAGAGGAATATTTGGAATTCCCCAATCAGAGAGAGGATACTGTGTGTCTAATCTGAAAGCCATAGATATGATATGAGGTCATGTATTGGAATTAATGTCAGCTCTTCAAAGGTTTAAGAGTAAACTGTGCCGTTGAGGCTTTTCCTGTTTACTACAGTTAAATCAAAACAGCGATATTGAATCTGCCAGTGCTTTGAATTAGATAGTATCATCTAAAACAACAACAGAGACTCTTCATTCCCTGTATCTGCATTTTTCATACACACACTTTCATGAGAAATGGTGCACTAAGCATAAAGAGGGTCTACCTCCTTTGCTCCCCTAAGAGCAAGCAGCAAACTTCACTAGCAGCAGACCTCTATAAATATTCCAAGCAAGGCTGACCTGGTTACAGAATGCCCTTGGGAGTGTGAATTAGCATCTGAATACATACACTGCTGTAGCCGGTTGAAGACAGGCCTGGCAGGAGTGGCAGTACTGCTGAGACTCCCTCCACAGCTCCCTCAAAGACCAGCCAGCATGCTTCAGAGGCCGAGCATGATGAGGACACATCAGATACACAAGATGAAAGCATGAGTCTAATGAGGGGGGAGTGTATGCATCTCTGTGCTTCCATTAGT